TATTGAGGACTCGGTGTATGTTTTCATAAGATTGAGAAAAGAGTTTGCATGAGACATCATTGTTGTATAAATCCTACTTTGTCTGGTTATGTTATATGAATAATTGTTTCTTTGATGATGCAGTTGGCATGTTGTGGTGCAAATGCCTGGTGGAGAAGTTGTTGATCCTCCCCATTCTTTGAAGGCTACCGAAGAGTGCGGTGTTGATCAGGTAGTGAACTTCTCTTCTCTAAATCCTCCATTCTCAATCAACTTCTCTTGTGTGGCTAGTTTTGAGCATGTGCACATTGATGCTTTATTCAATCTTTTGTGGACTAATAAAGTTTTTTTTATCTCTTCTAGTTATGACCTTTGGCCATTAAGTACTTTAATTTGGCATTAATGTGTTTTTTCTTTTAAAAAGGAAGGTTTCTCCTAATTGTTATTTAGCGATGCTATGATTTGGAATTTCAAATTCAAGTGAGAAAATTCTTTTCTGTGACTGCAGATTGAAGGGCACGTTCCACACAAACTGAACTTCTATGAAGGAGTATTCTATAATTACTTTAGCATAGGTATAGCATACCGGCTTAACTTCAAGATCTCGGTTCTTTTAATTTCATGCATGTGGAAATACACCTGGTGGGTAGCTGCTTTTTTTATAGAGAAACATGATAGAGTGGTAGCATTTTTACCAAACCCTAGTAGTGTCCATGGATGACAAAATTTTAACAAGATTCCTTTGCTTTATTAAAATAACTTTAAATCATCCAAATTTTATTTTCCTCTTACAACCGCAAAAATAAATACATAAATAAATAAAAGCTAGAAGATCCACACTGCTACAAGTTGAGGGATCAAGACAACTCATTAACAACATACAAAAAGGTTGGGAGTCCTGAAAAGTTGATAAATCATCCATGAAGTTGTCTTACTAGGAGCAACACCGTTCTCATTCTTGCTTATGGTGTTTTTCTATTATTATTATAATGAACATTTTTTGGTTCTTACAGATCTTTATGTTTTTATTTTACATTCAGGAATGGATGCACAAGTGGCTTTTGGATTTCATCGTTTTCGGAATGAGAAACCTTTCCTTGCACAAGGTCCTATTTCAAATAAGGTATTTGGATCTCGTTTTTACAAATTTGACTGCAAGTTCAATAACATTTTGTCATGAATCTCTTGATATTATAGTGAAATGTAGCTTTTTCAGTTTGAAGTGCTTAAAGGTTATATCGAAATTCAAATTATTAGTTTCTTTGCTCCTGTTGATGATTTGCTTTGCTAAAACTAATATTAGATTGTAATTGATCCATCTTTTGTGGCAGATTATCTACTCCGGTTACACTTGCACTCAGGGTTGGTTTCTTACACCTTGTATAAGTGATCCAACTTTAAGGTTAGACATTTTGATACTTGTTTGGCCTGTACCTTATCCAATATATTTGTATGTAGGATGGGGATGTGTGTTATTGTATAATCAGCATTTATTTAAGGTGTGATTGTTCCTCAGACTGTGTAGCCAAAGCCTTGGCGATGGTGCTGAGGCACAAAACATAGAGTGCCTTAAATGTAATAGCACTTGGCTAAGGTTTGAATCATCTGGAGAAGGTGTAGCTAAGGCATCCTTGGTGCTTAGGGCAATGCTGAAAGTGCATTTAGCTAAGATAAGCCCTTGATTCTTCAGCACATTGATTTGGAAGATGAGTGCCTCCATGAAGTGTTTATTTTTAATTTTAATTTTCTTAAAACTCTACATGGAATGGATAATATATATATATGTTTATACAAAACCTAAAAGGGTTCTATTTATATTTGTATTACATCATCACATTTCTTGTTAATACAAAGGTCCTAGTACCTTGGCGGTGTCTTCCTTGCGTCTTAAATGTTCCTCAATTTAGGAAAACATCATTGCTGTTATAATGCATGTGGTCTTGAAATGCTCGTTACAGTTACACCAAGGAAGATCTTTTAATGAGATATTGTTTGGCAGAGAGAAAGTAAACTATGAATTGTATGAAGAAATTCTTTCTTTCTTGTTAATGGTGTTTTGAAGTGAACAAACGTACCTTTTATAGTAAATATAATTTTAAGATGCTTTCAAATGCAGGGGACTCAATAACATTTTAAGAATACACATTAAAAGGGTCACTGCTCAGAGTGGGAGCCAATTACAGTACCTGAAAGGTACATTTCAAGTATTTACTTTTACCTAGCGATGCATAAGCACCCTAATCAATCATTAATCTTCACATATATCACGTATATCTATAAATATTTGTTTTAATGAAGCTATTTTGTTTTAGTGTGAGGGCAATTGTTGCTTTAAATCTTCCTAGTTATGGAAGTGGACGAAACCCATGGGGCAATCTAAAGCCAGAGTATTTGGAAAAGGTATGGTGAATTTCTTCAGATTAGCAAGTTGTAAGATGCTCGACCATTTTTGTTTAATTTTCGTTGTTTATTTTTTCAGAGAGGCTTTGTTGAGACTCATGTTGATGATGGTCTGCTAGAAATTTTTGGCTTAAAGCAAGGATGGCATGCATCATTTGTAATGGTTGAACTCATATCTGCAAAACACATCGCTCAGGTACAGTAACTTACCAGGTTTTCATCTGGAGAATGTGGTATGCTGATAAGTTTTGACTGGGTTCTTTTTGCTGTTGTTTCAGGCGGCATCGATTCAAATCGAGTTAAGGGGTGGAGAATGGAAAGAAGCATTTTTTCAGATGGATGGGGAGCCATGGAAACAACCGATGAGCAGTGATTACTCCACCATTGTAGAAATTAAGAGAGTGCCTTTTCAGTCGGTAATGATCAGTGGAGAATGACATTGGCTATTGGCTAACCCTTATCTCTTTTGTAAAGCATCTCTCACCCAAGGGCTTGAAGTTGTAAATTGTATTTGTTTCCCCCCACAATGGCTAAAAACTAATTTGTAAACTTCATTCATAGAGTCCACCATGTTTTACTAATGTAGTTTGCAGTTTTAGTATTGTACTATCTTTCACCAGAGATCCATTTTCATTCACTATTTTTGTTATTAATAATTTAATTTCATCAATAGGCTTTTAAAGTTCTGCATGTTGCGGCATTTATTTTAAAAGTTGTCTGAGCTGAGGCTAGTTTCACCAGGGACCCTTCTTGTTTCAATCAGGGTGAAATAAGTTTTATTTTAAAGGATATACCATAAGCACTAACGGATCTAGAAATTTAAAAAAAATCAAGTTTTAATACACTTTTCTCAAGAAAAAATTATAATAAAAGTCGTCTCATTTAATCAAGATGTTGCAAGGGAACTTGATATTTTGGATATGTTAAAAAATAAAAATAATGTTCAATTTAGGATTAAATGATAAAAGAATTATCATCCCAACTGGTATGTCGTAGAACATCAAAAATAGAGGATACATAAATATTATTGCTCATTATAGTGATAATTTATAAACTTGATAAAAACGTATTACAATATACTTTTTTTAAAGATATATTTATCAATATTTAAATTTGAATATTGATAAAAACTATTTCATGGATTTGTGATTTTAATTAGGAATAGGGATGGCAAACGGGCGAGTCGGGTGTGGATACTCCTTCTTCATCCCCATACCTACTTAATATTTTTAAATCCACCACCTGCCCACCACTCATGATGGATAAAAATTTTCAAATACACATCCGCCCACACAGATAAATTTTCAAATCTATCCCCACACCACTACTTAACTGGAGATGTGTCCGGCTAAACCCGCCTGACATCATATATCTTATACAATATTAAAATTTATATCTTATACAATATTAAGATTTATATCTTATAATATATTAAGATTTATAAATTAGTCTCTAAAATTATACCTAAATTCATAATGGTCTAAAATTTATTTGGTATTTAGTGGGCGAGCGGATACAAGACAGGTAAAATTTCAAACCCATCAACCACTACTACCCGCGACGAGTATCACTTTCTAAACTTACACCTACCCACTACCCCTAAAATCATACACATCACCTCCCCAAATGAAACGAATACAATATAGAATCTACGAAATTGTATAGGTTTACAAACTTATAATTTAGTCACATTATGTTTGAAGTTTGTACTCGTTTTCTTGTTATAGTTGTGCTTTTTTTAATAAAAAAATATGAAAAGGCCAAAAAGAAAGAGAAAGGAAATCAAAGGCGTGGGGCTGGGGTGGCTTTTATTCCCAATTTAATAGGAGCAATTCTCTTTGAAACTAGGGTTTAAGAGCTCATTTCATCAACTCAAAACCTTTCGACAAAGAGGATCGAGGAGTTAAGAGTTTTCATTTTGCAGCCATGGCGAGCACCAAAGTCCAGAGAATTATGACTCAACCCATTGTGCGTACACCTTTCTTTATTTTTCTGAATCTCTCCTTATTTGCTGATTTCTTTCTTTTCCTGTTTCTTTTATTACTGGGTTATTCTGCGGCAACAGAACCTGATCTTCAGGTTTCTTCAAAGTGTAAGTCTCTACTTCAAGCTATATTTTCTTCATTCTCTGCTCTGGGTATGCTTGTTTGTTAACTAATTGTTCGAATTTTTACTTATCTATTTTTGAATTGGAAATATTCAGAAAGCTCGCATTCAGATTTGGCTTTTTGAGCAGAAAGATTTGAGGATTGAAGGCCGAATCATTGTAAGTTTTATATTTAGTTTTCTTTAAATAAACATTTTTAAAGCTACTTATTATACTAAAGATTTTATTTTTAATTGAATTTTGTTAGGAATTTTAATTTCCCCAAAAAAGGTTTTGGCCTGGAATCCCACTTTAATTTTTTAATCTGGGTGCATTAAGTCCTATGTTTCTGAAATGTCCCATATAGCTTAGGCCTCAGGTGAAGTAAAGTTCTTAAATTCCATGTTTATATGTATAATGGTGTATATTGGTACGACTGTCAAATTTGGTAGAATTGTTTTTTCAGAAAAAGGTACTAAAACTCTTATATGCTTTGTGATCTAACTTTTTGATGATCTTATATTCAGATTCTTATTTGCCCAATTTTGTATTTTATAGGGGTTTGATGAGTACATGAATCTGGTGCTGGATGATGCTGAAGAAGTTAACATAAAAAAAAAGAGCAGAAAGACATTAGGTGAATTGGCTTACTCTTATAATCTTATTGTTCACTTTTTGTTTGCATGTCATCTTATATGTTTGTTTATAATTTCAGGAAGAATTCTTCTTAAAGGAGACAACATTACCCTTATGATGAATAGGTAAGTGAATTAAATAAACTAGCTTGCTCACTTTCTCTAACACTCAGATTCTAATTATTTCATTTATTTTAATTTCTACAGTGGAAAATGATTGTTATCCCCGCAGCTTTTTGGATTGGCAATGCAAATCTTCTCAATATCATATAGGTCGAGCCACTATGACTATTGTGCTATCTTTAAAACATATTTTTACCTTTCATGTATTACAACTCGCCTTATAAAAGGTGCTTCTTGTATTTCAGATAGGCTTGGATGCTTGCTTAGTTTATCTAATGATTGACATGTATGATTCTGCCCTTTGCATATGTTGTTTTTTGTGGTAAATATTGGCTTGTTTATTGCTGGGAAAAAATATTTTGACATTTTTTTGTCAGTTCTTTGATTTGTGTTCCGGTCAGCCCTTCATGCATTTTTCTTCGCTGTTCTTTTTTCTTTTATGAAGATCAGGATTCAGAGGATCTAGCTAGCTACTAGTACATATTAATTTTGTTGCTCTGAGTCTTCGTTAAAATACCCGTGTCCACTCTCTTTCTCCCCTCCCCTCCCCTCCCCTCCATTCCCTACTATTTCCTTTCACCATCCTTTTTCGTATTTACCATCAGCTTCTCCACTATTTTCTCATTGACCCTCCACTCCCCTGGGTGGAGATCAAACTGAGGCATTATACTTCTTTGCTAGAAACGATCTTGTCTGAGGGCACGATGGGTCTGCTACATGTAAAAATGTTCCATGTTGGGACTATGCGATTTGGAAGCCGAAACAACCCCTATCAGGCAATGAAATCCTAATGGCTTGGGATCTTACTTTTGCCCTTTTTTCGACCAGTATGGTCAGCTTTTGGTTAGTCAGTCAATACATTTTCTCTAAGATATGTTTAGCTGTGAGATTTTCGTTTCTTTGCGTCGGTTCATTTCTGACCTTTATTTGGTTGCATATTATTCATACCAAGAAGTTTCTGATTCGAAAATATAATTCTTAAAATAAGTCTTAACACAATTTGTTTACAAATGTTTCATATTACAAACGTATCAAAACTTATATAGTTGTGTGAGTGGAACAAACAAGCTTGGAATATCATTTTTATAATGGGTATCACATATCAATGACTAAAAAATCAAAACTTATATAAATATAACGTGAATATCTCGTTTAAATAGAATAGCTTTATCATTATCTTAGCATGCCAGTTAAACTAACTATTTGCTTCGTTGTGAAATTTATCACAAAATTTGTTACACCACTTAAAGAGGTACATGTTTTCCAATTTTTATGTTCACGAGTGGATTGAGTTTAATTCGATTAATAATGTTTTTGATACAATATATAAGAGAATATAAGATCGAATATGTTATATATAATTAATATGCTCAAATTTTAGTGATTAGGTACTTAATTCCTTTCTAAAAGGACCAGGGTTTGAACCCTGCCATTCTCATTTTTAAATTTTTCTTGAATTTTGTTCTTGTACAATTTCTGGTAAAACTTATATAACAAGTGAGAAATGTGTATTGAATTTTATTGAAGTAGAAGTTGGTTACATTCACAAGATGCAATGAGAGGATATGCAGGCACTGCAGGGTGTTATTAAAAATGGTCAGGGAGTGAGAGGAAAGCCCATGTCTTTAAGAACTTGAGGGCAACCAGGAAGAGCTTCCTTCTTCTTGAAGCCAAGATTGTTAGCAGTTGTAATAGGGTCAGCTAGGCCATCTTGGGTGGTGAGCTCCACCTGAGATTTTTCCCATGCTTCCATCTTTTCATTGCAATCTGCCCGAGGACTCTTTTCCACGCTTACCTTGCAAATCTCCGCTTCGTGGTCTCCCTCCACCGGGATGCTGTATCCACCCGTCGCATTAGTAACTGCCTCCCGACTGTATGTTACGGCTTCGTCCCTTACCTTCCTGCATTCCAACTTCACCGTCGCACCTGCAAACATATCAGCTAACCTTAGTCGGCCATCTTTGATGAGATTTAATGGAAGATTTCGAGTTCAAGAAACCTGGAATGGGTTCACTGAGTTTGGTTTCGAACTCCACGCGACAAGTGTCACAGTAGACTTTGCCGACTACTTTGAACTTTTCAACGGCAAGGGCGAAGCTGATGAGGGACGAAATGCAGACTGACATTAAAACCATGGCCATCAGCGATGCTTTTACCATTTTCTCTTCTTTCAAATTTTCCTATTGGCTTAAAAACAAAGAGTTTATAAAGAAACAATGCAGTTTTTTTTTATATCTTTAAAGGGATTGTAGAGGGAGACTCGTTCTTGTCGTTATAATTGGTTTAACAATTTCGAATCGGAACACATAATTATCTAAAATTAGTAATTTCTTGAGTGATTGTAGGGAAATGATTACTATATGAACACAACAGATTATATGAAGATCTAAGGTTACGTTGATTCAGCAATTGTTGGAACTTTTTAGATCTTTTAGTGCTATTAAAATAAAGGACAAAATATACATTTGATACTTAAACTATTACTTAAAATTGTTCAACACGAAATCTTTTTTTTTATTCAGTCAAGACATATTTTTATTTAGTCAATATATTTTTACCAGTAATAATGTTATCTGACACGGGTGAAGAATACATAAGTTACATTATTTAAAATTGTGGAACCTTGTGAACATAAAATTTGACAACTTTCTCTACCATTTCATCACACTGAGAGAGCCATTGAAAATTTTCATAATTCCACATCCACTAGAGAATTTGTACCCTTTTGAGTATATAGTACCTAAAAAAATCATATTTCTTCTCAAATTTGAAACATGCATCATATTATCAAGTTTTTGAATAATCTCATCAAACATCTTAATTTTGATTGTCTTAATACTTACAACCTTACAAAATACATTAATCCCCCCAAAAATATATCGTCTATAAACATGACTTTATACGTTGCAAACCAATCTCAATTGGAACTCATATGAAAAATGTTACTAAAGTCAAGTATCCACTCATTACTTACTATAAAGTCTTTCACTAGAAGCAACAAGAAGTTCATCATCATTATAGTCTTCAACTACATCAGCTTGTCAAAATTTTCTGGTTGTTTACTATTGTGATTCGTGTCATCCTTTTAGTTTCAATTCTACAACCTATAACATTTATCCTAAGTCTTAATGTGTCCCATTTTCTTGCAGTAATAACATGTTTTTCCTACTTTCTTAGATTCAATCGAGTCTTGGCTTCACTATCATAACCTTTTTCTTGAATCTTCTCGCAAACAATGAGACCCTCTCCCTAAGAGTTGAATCCAACGACAAGATGTTTCATCTTGTCATTCAAAGCTAAAAAATCATAAATTTCATCAACTATGAGAGATTCACAACTATGCAAAATCATATCTTTAAAGATCGAATAAGAAGGGGACAACGAACAAAGTAGAATTAACCCTAAATTCTCCTTATCGTACTTGACTTTCATGGTCTCTAAATCTGAGATAAATTCTTTAAATATAGTTAAGTGATCTACCAAAGACATACCTTTAACCAAAAGATGAGAATAAAAATATTGCTTCAAATATAATTTGTCGTTTAGGATTTTTGACATGCATAGTTGCTCAAGCTTCAACCACAATGCAATAATAATCTTCTCCAATACGTCTAGTAGAATTTCATTTGACAAATGCAAGTGTAATTTTTATAGAGCTATTTTCTTCAAGTGTTAATGTCGAAGATCTTATCTATTCTTCGTAGGGCATCATCCAAATCTATATCGCTAAAATTATTTGCATCTTCACCTACCCTAACATGAATCTACTGTTGTGATCCAATAATGAAATTTTATATTTAAGGATGCCATTATCGTGATTGAAATAAATAATTTGAATGCTCTAATACCAATTTGTTAGAAGATAACGATAAATATAGTGATTACACAATAAAAGAGACGTCGAGATTTTATGTGGAAAATCCTTACGAAAAAATCATAGGTAGAAGAGGAGAATTTTCACTAATGTCGAAAGAAGAAAATACAAGAGGATTTGTATAAAATAACTAAACTTCGAACATTAACCCATAATATCTATTTATAGGGATAAATACTTGATTTCAAAGGAAAATTATAAAGTAAAACTACTAAAAGTAGTTTCTGCATAAAAGAAAGAAAAGTTTCACACTTCTAACCAAATTAAGTTTTTTACTTTCTCTAATTATCTCTTAATTAATTTATGTCGCATTGAATTCGAGTCAAACTCTAATATATTTATTTAATTATAAACTTCAAAATCATATATTGTATCTCAACTATTTATTCCAACAAAATTCATTTCATTCTTATCATTTTCCTGACAAATGAAATTAAAAATTTTAAATCCATATTTCCAAACGGAGCATTAAAATATTTGTGAACAAAAAGAAAGATAACCGAGATAAACATTTGGGTTCGGCCTTTAGGGGTATACTTGGACTCTTGTAGCACAAAATTAATTCTTTGGATTCCATTATTAGGCTATAAGGCCAGTCCAAATTGTTCGTATCAGAGGCCCAAGGGTTGGGCCGCTAAGAGGATAACATTGATTTAACATGAAAAATAAGTATAATTATAATGACTTTTAAAAAAATTAAATTTTATAATTTTATAATGATATATAATTATGTGATTTATTGACATGTGATTGTACATATAATTATATACTGTCAAATCATCAAATATTAATTCATTATATAATATAATTGTTATGTTAGTTTAGGGTGATTACAATATAATATTTGTTCATAATTTTTTAGTCATTGACAAAGTATATACACCTTGCAGACATAACTATTCGAATTCAGGAACTCTAGGTAGAATAATATACACTTTAAACACGGAAGTCTCTTAATAGATTATGAACTAAAGAATAAAAAATGAAAACTTTAACCAAGCTCAAATCTTTCAAGGATATGGATGATAAAAGGTGGAATACTTTTTAGGCCAAGAATATTGTAAGCCCTCACCACCTTAAAAGGAATAATTAAGCATTGATTATAGGGTTATGGAAAGAGGATGTTGACAAAGTTTCATTGTTTAAAAACCCTACCATAACTTTTCCTTTTAGATTTATTAATTATTACATGGTCAATAGCCAGCTTTGAGCCATTATTTCATTGGAATTATTTAGCTTGCCTCACAACTTCCTCTGCATTGTAAGACTCACGTGTAGGCATTGATTCTCCCACTGTAATTCCTTTTTCATATTTTTTCTGGCCACAAAAACTGTCCTTTTTCTTTTATATGAATATATTTGCAAATTTGTTATAAATAATGAAAGAATGGTTGCTTTTATTTGTTCTACAATCATTCAAAAATCTCATTCAATCTTTTTAGTGATTGTGGTTGATGATAATAGTAGTTTCTTGTAGCATTTGTCATCGCCCTTGTGTGCATGGATCCCAAGTAAAACCAAATCCCAACTAATAGCTTTAGAAATCGGAATTGAAGAATGTGAACGTGTGTATATATACACACATTAACTCAAAATTTTGAGTTATTCGAGTTGTATTTTATAATTCAATTTTAACTTGAAATTTTTTCGAGTTAAGTTGAATTGAATTTATGAAATTCCAACTAGAAGTTAATTTCGAGTCGAATTTTGCTCACCTTTACCTCTAACCTGTTACAATCCCTTGACATGATCACTAACAAAATCATATGATCTATCAACTAAATCTATTATCCGAAAGTTAGATCTATTTACTTTGTTGACCTATAAATAATAATCATTTATCTAGGTATGACGTAAACACTAAAGGTTTGCATATAAATCACCTGCAAGGTTGAAGAATGACTCTACCTCAGAGGTGATTGTTTATCATCTTTTTCAGTTCATCTATTCTCTTTTTCGCATTTACTAGGCAATCATTTAATATTTTTCGTTCAAACCACCGGAAACCACTGCAACCCCTTCCTTCCACCAGCAGTTTTATTTTGTCTAAGAAAAAATTAAATGGTTATGTCAAACTTATAGTTGTATTCAACTAATTTCAACCGAGTTTAGTAACTTACAAATATATAGGAGAATATAATTAATGGAATCACTTCTCATCTCATAACCCTATTCTAAAACCATGGATTCTATGTTGTCCAATTCTCGCTTGCATTTTGGAAAACTATTATTAAACAACTCACTGATACTGGTTCAATCAACAAGGGGAAAAACATGATAAGAACTTATAAATTAACCGTAGTGCTAATTAAGCTAATGTACTGGATAATAATTGCTTGGATGATGGAAGCATAATTATAAATAAATAGAAAAAAAATGGAACGCATACTTAACGCTAATAGTATATTAAAGGAAGAAAATAATGCCATATAGCAAGAAAAAGAAGAGCTAAAGGACCCACTGCTTGTCCTCTTATTACCACTCTATTGATGTGATCTTCATTTCACCTCTTTTCTTTTGCTTTCTTCTCTGTGTAGGGGAGAAAGGAAAAACCCTTCATGAAAAACAATGATGTCAATCAACAAAGGGAAAGACATAGCTCAAGGGTCTTCGAGATCAGCTGCTGTTGTTGTCACTGCAGCCTCTGATCAGCAAAATCCGCCTCCGTTGAGCCGATACGAGTCGCAGAAGAGGAGGGACTGGATCACTTTCGGTCAGTACTTAAGGAACCGAAGGCCACCGGTGGCGCTTTCTCAGTGTAACTCTAATCATGTGCTCGATTTCCTTCGTTATCTCGATCAGTTCGGAAAGACTAAGGTGCACTTACAAGGTTGCATGTTCTTCGGTCAACCTGAGCCACCAGCCCCTTGTACCTGCTCTCTTAGACAAGCTTGGGGTAGCCTCGATGCTCTTATCGGCCGACTCCGTGCCGCTTACGAAGAGAACGGCGGATCTCCGGAGACCAATCCTTTCGCGAATGCTGCCATACGTATTTATCTTCGTGAAGTGAGGGATTCTCAAGCTAAAGCTAGGGGAATTCCTTATAAGAAGAAAAAGAAGAAGAGGAATCCATTGAAGTCTAATGCAGATAGCTCAAGCTTCCCTACTCAGCAACCTTGATATGGATTTCCCTTATAAAACTGGTAATAAATTATTGCTTTTCCTTGGGCACTTAAGATCTGCTACTGATTGCTTGGAACTTTGACTTCATGGGAATGAAATACAAGAAAATAATTGAACCTTTTTACTCTAATTAACAGATAAAATATTAAGATCTGTCAAGCTAATCACAATTGTAACCTTTGGGAACAAAATCAATATTGAAATGAAAGAAGAATAGTACTTTTTTAGCAACTTAAAAGCCTATACACAATATGGACATATTTCGGCCATATATTCTCTTTCCCTTTCATAATAAACCCTAGAGGCAAAGGCCTTGGAAACCCTAATTTTGTATAGTAGTTTACTTTAAGAAAGACAAGAAACAATAACAGTACTCACTAACTTTACCTTAATACCAATAACAAACATTAATTGCTATGATCATAATGAAAACCTCTTGTTTGAAAATTCCTTCTTTCTCTCTCCCTCCCACATGCAAATGTTTTGTATCCAAATTTAATCCAACAATGTAATATCTCGCGTCCGATAACCCCATCACCCTCTCATTAAAATTACATAATGTTATTGTAAATTATGGTTAACATCAAGTATATAAGCTATTTTTGGATTCTGCACTATTTTGTGCCCTCCATGAATTGCCATAGATATAATATATGTCATTTTCATGATCTTAAGAAAAGTTATATGATTGAAGATATAGAGTACTTATTATTGAATTTCTTTGTTTATCTGATACTAATAATAATTAATAACACAATTTAGATAAGTTATAACTAAGATATATTATATAAAAGCTCTTGATCTTTATAGATTTACAGTTAATAGATTTAATCTTTTAATTCGAATTGCCATTATATCATTGTCCTTTTCTGTGATAATAACTCTATATATATTTAGATATGCAATTGACCCTTGTTTGTATGAAATCATCAGAAAAAGTGCTAATTGTTTCCCCTATTGTAGTAACCTATAAATGCTTCGCAGAAAAACAAAGAAACTCTTTCATTTCATTTGGATCATTTCAGGCCCTGAATCAAATTTCAAGAGTTTGATCAGTTGGCAACTCTCAGAAATCACAATCAGTTCGTCCTTGGATCAAGATGATGATGTTTATCTTCTTTTAAATGAGAAATCAAAGCTGGAAATGGATATATATATATATATATATATATAACTGGAATTGAAGAGGTAAGTTGCTTCTGTTATATTTCCTTTCCCATTTCAATAAGTTAATAAGAACTATTTGCTCCAAGTTTGTCCTATGAACTATTCTCCATGTTTATGTACATTGATGGTAATTCATCACTATTATAATATTGAACTTCAATCTGTTTCCAATTTTTGTTTATGATTTTGTCTAAAAAGTTGAATGTTACTGATACTAGGAGGCTGGTACCTTCAATATGTAGTCTTCTCTATGTTTAAAAAAGGTACAAAATGTATACATATTTGTTTGCTGGAATATCTATGAATATTGCATTTTAAATAAATTGATTAATATATTAACCTCTAACAAATGTGAAATTCGAATCTGAATATTTATAATTAATTCTTTAACTATCACATCCAAATACAATATGAGAGATTATTGGAGACATTTTTAGAATTCTTTTTCCCATTTCATAGTTCACAATGGTATCCCCCACTCATATAATATCTTGTCCCACCTCTTCATAATGTTCTTTGATTTATTCAACATCGGTCATGGGGTTCCTCTTCAAGGTTAATAAATAATCACATAAGATAGTAATTAATTACTGTAATTTCTCAAAGGTCATGCTTCTTCCACCATTTTTTTTATTGCTTCTATTTCAAAGTCCTCTGAGCTTTTGATCTTCAAGGGTAAGTCTTATTGTTTGTTATTCATTTTTCCTCTATTTAACAATAGCTTTTTCTTAATGCATATAAAAGATTATTATTTGGTGCATAAACATTGAATATTTTAGGTAAAGTTTTGTCATTAATCCTTATGCTATCTATAAGTTGTGGATTTAGTCCCTCTACTCTAATTTGGTCAATTTTTCTCTTTGTACTTTTTGAATTCTAAAAGTTTCAATCATATCCTAAATATAACTAAATATTGGAGAATAATAAATAAATCTACAGCTTGCATATGATATTGAAACTAATAGAAGAATTTGATTTAACATCTTTCACTAATATTATTTGGTTTATAGCCAAAATTGTAGAAATTAAAAAGTATGAGGGCTAAAAATTGTCCAAATTTGAATCCTAGAACCAAATTCACAATTTAAGCATAATGATGGAACAATTTGACCAAATTTTTTGGCAGAATAAGTATTTAACAACATTTTTTTTATCATTTTCTGTTCTTTGATTCATGATGAAGGTGAACTTTACTGGTCATTTGTGTTGGTAAATCGAGGATAATCATTCCCTTGTATAAGAAACCTACACATTGATTCACATATTATTTCATCATTGGGAGTGATAATGTGACTTAGTTTATTAAAAGGTCATAATAATTATTATCATAATGTGCATTTGACAATTTGATTCAGAATTATATAATAAATAGAATGTCAGACTATGAACATTTGTTATGAAAAAAAAGAGAGGGAAACGTCCAAAGTCACATATTCTCTCTTTATGCATCAACAAGTTGATATGATAGAATATGTAGAGACAATATCATCAATTTAAAATATTTGATAAGAGCAAACATCATGGCCAGGGACGTATCCATGTTATAGGTGGGAGTGGGAGGGGTAATTGCCCCTAAACTTTGATGGCCTAATTACCCCTTAAGTCACTAGTAGTTTTAAAATCATTGCAATTAAGCCCTTATCCTTCCAAAATTTTCTGGTATAATTATTTTTTAGGATACTGTCAGTTTTAGAATTAATAAAATTAAGGTTAATCCCAAAGTTATCTAGTTTAATTATATTTTAAGACCTTTGAATTTTAAAATTAATGAAATTAAACCCTTAATCTCTTAATTTTTATGGTTTAATTACTTTTTGGGACCATATTTATTTTAAAAAACAACTTAACCCCTCATAGTTCAATTCTGTCTCCACCCCTGATCATAGCCCTCCATATTTCATTTTCTTATAAAGAGAACATTACGTCAAGAATCATTGACAGAAAAAAAGATTAATTGCATATAAAATTCCTTGAAAATGATGATTTCCTTGAACAAATAATCGAGTTGCTTTTAACGTTCTTATGTTTTCACTAGTCGGATGCCACAGAGCCATTGTTATCCTCTTTCTTTTCGTCTGTCGGAAAAATTAAATATGATAATGTAAGACGTATATTAATATCGAACACTTACATTTGAATTCGTTTTTGTCTCATATAATTGCATTTCGTTTTATATTTAATGTTTGGTTCATATGTCGGAACTTTGATGAAGCTTTTTGAACTTAACTGCCATTTTATGGCCGAGGGAAGAGATTCAAATAAAGAAAAAAGAAACTGTCTGATTCATTCATATACGTAACATGTGAGACTCGATTAAGTAAAATGCATTATTATATTTCTGGAGGGGCTAAAGATGAAAATTTTCCGTCTAACTAAAGAGCTAAAAAGGATTTAGTTAAGTAATTAATATTTAGGAGGGGTTAAAAATAATTGTGCCATTATCTAAAGAGATAAAAAGGATTAAATTGAATGATTGTACCTCGCTTCTCCGCAAAATTAGGGAAATATCCCATTTCCTTAATTCTAAGAGTAAATTATAAGATTGTTACTTTCATTTAAGTTTTAAGTTTTGTGTATTTTTTACTCATTAAATTTAAAAAACATAGCATTTGGTAACTTTTGCTTTTATTTAAATAAAATGTGATCATTAAAAATTAATTATCGTTAGACCTTTAAAAATTATTTACGTGACATAATAGATATATAAAATTTAAAAAATAAACTACACAAAAATAAATTTATTTACTTGTTTCAAGTGGTGGTTGACGCCCATAAAAGTTAATGTTTGTGTTCGTCCTAATTTTATTTTTTAACGTTAGATATATTTTTATATACCTTATTTTCAATTAAATATATTCATATTATATTCATCGTTAAGTAAAATCTTTACAAATCCCGTTTCTTCGATAAAGAATTTATAAATTAATTAAATTTATTTATTCGAACCAAAAAAATAACAACACATGAGACAATCACAATTGTGATCTAGTGCCTGTGAAATCCACAGTCTCGACGTAGAACATGTTATTTAACATTTGCGAATATATTCGTTTATATTTGTTTAACGTTTCGTTTAGTATCCACAAACATGTTCGTTTATATGGATTGAATCCCCTTAAACAATCATTACTCTCTTTTTTATCCTTTTATTTGCAAGTAAAAAAAATGATGAAATCATGTCACTAATCTTTAACATATTTAGGTTTTATAATTTAAACTCCAGAAATTTTCTTGTATTCAATTTAGTCCATACATTCACCAATAATTAAAATATAAAATAATAAAAAGAAAAGGGGAATTGAGTAAACAAGTTTATAAATGATTCGATAAACGAACTTGTTAGTGAACATAAACTAAACACAAACTAAACACACATTTTTTCGTGTTTGTTCATTTATTAAATAGACATAAAAATTATCCATATTCATTTATTTATCTCAATAAACGAACTTTATACAAACAGATTGTAACACCCCAATTTAGGGGCTAAATTTTAGAATTATAAAATGGTAGATTTAATTGGTATTTTGGGAAGAAAATTGAGGATTAAATTAAAAAAATTAAAGTGGCAAACCGTTTTATAAAGTGCAAGAAATTCAGTGGCTAAACTAATAGTTTAACCATTTTTATTTTAGAGACAATTATAAGTCTCTCCCCTGTATGTTCGGCAGAAATTTTCCTATTTTTCCTTCTCCATCAACCTTCTTTTGAACTCCGATCTACTCACCTCTGACGTCCATTTGACGAACCGAAACCACCATCTTGTTCATCGTCGACCGAAGAGCAAAACCCCTCAAACATTTCGTTATGAATCGTCGTTAATTTCAGTTGGAAGTATCGTCGTTTTAACTCGATTTAAGTTGATTTTTCATCGATTCACGACGATTCGACAATACATTTTCGACACCTCCCGCACCATCGTGTTCCTTGCATCGTTCCGAGTTCGCCGGTGTCCTCCGTTTCTCAGTCGTCGCCGGTGCTTGGAGGAGTAAGAAAGTCAAAGTTTTTTGATGTTTCGGAATCGAGCTCTCCGTTGTTCAAAATTGTGAACTGAGCTTGGTAAGTGTCTCAAAATGCCTTAAAATAATATTTAGGAATTTTTTAGGGAATTTTCCGACACCGTATCACTGTTCACGCACCGCACGCGTCGCCACTGCGCGTAGGGGTGTTAATTTTATAATTAATTTCTGTTAGGGTGATTTTGTGTAAAATTCGGGTGTTAGTTTTGTAAATATCTTTGGAAGGTGACTAAATTTGTAATTAATTTTGGTTAGGGTGATATTTACGTAAAACGGTCAACTGTTGACCATTGACCGGCATTGACCACTATTGACCAAACTTTGACCGGCGTTGACCGGGCGTTAAACAACATTTGACTTTGACCGGGTATACCTATTCTGACGTTTTTCGATGTTTTGAATCTGTTTTTGGGGTCCGTTTCGCAAAATTCGAACCCGATATTGGTTTTAACTATTAATCATCCGATTCGATCCGTTTTTCAGAATTAAGCCCGTTTTTTATGAAATGTTTATTGTTATGTATATGAGGAATTATTGGAAGATGATTTCAAGATCAAGGGTGTTTGAATGGAATTTAATGGTCGATCAGTATGTCACGAAAATTGAGATAATATTTTACTACCTCTTTATGCTTTATGGAACATATTGATATTGGTAAATGCATTAATAAAAAAATGTTTGCTCTCAATTGTGTAGTTAGTTAATTTCTACACTCGATCTGAATACAGTAAAAATGTGATAATTGAATATGGTTCATATGATTAATATAAGAAATTGAATGACAGTTGAAATTAAACTACAAACTTTGTGATTAAGTGATAAATGAATCAGTTTGGTTATGTAAATTATAATTTATTTCATCAAAAGTACTTGGATTGAAAATTATGAGAATACTCCGGTAGGGTAAAATTAAGAAAATACCCTTATGTTGAAAGATGGCAATAATTGTCCATGGAAGTGGTTAATAACTCTGAAAAAACATATTAATTCGGTAAAATTATAGATGTGCATAAGAAATATTAGTTTTGCTTAAAAGATTTGGATAACTGGTTTTTAACCCCATGAGGGTTTGTGCAAGATGCTAGAAGTCTGTTAAGGGAATCATTTCAAGATCAGAGAATGTTCGGAAAGCAATTAACCATAGGATCTTTAAATTATAGTTACTTTCGTAAAGAGTTAATACCAAAACTATTTGGTTAATAAATTACGAAAATGCCCTTGAAAGGTAAAAATAGTCCGAGTTGACCCGGAATGAGAAAGTACTTTGAGGATTTGTACTTAACTCGATAAATTACGGATTTAATTGTTAAGATCCTGTCTTTATACAGAAAAATTCATGATATTCCATTTGTAAAATCTGAGAATGCACTTGACCCGAAAATATCTGAGTTTTGAGTAAATATCTGAAGAATAATTATTGGGGGTGTTCTTTTGATAGAATTGTTCGAAATGACTGAAATTAATGATAAGTTTGAATCCAATAATAAGATCGGACGGAAGGAAATGATTGTAATACACTGGATATATAAAATGACCAGAATATCCCTGGAATGGAAATGACTCAAGAATATCACCAAGCTCAAGAATGATTGGATATCCTCGAGCTCTGAAATGAATAGAATAGAACTGAACAACAAAATGACCAAAATACCCTTATGGCCTAGACTAAGTAGATGTTTTGTATTAATTAAGGAATCCAAGTAAACATAGGTGTTGTACAACCCTTAAAAGTAATGGAACACAATTTAAGTGAGTAGATCAACTCTAAAGCTATGTCAATACCTGAATGGCATAGATATTACTTGAATGCGTTTCGTCTTCTCAAATTTGGTTCGATGATAATTTTGGAAGTAGTTGGCTTGGCTCAACTTATATCGCATTCAGTACTAAGAATTGGATATTTGTTCGACAAATCAACCATGAAGACCGAACTGAATTGAACTAAACGGAAGTACAATATGTATCTGAAATTCATAAACGTCTGCATTACTCTGGAAAACTCCAAAGTAACTGAATTGTACTTGACTATTAAATGAACTAAGTAATTGATTCAGATGCTATATTCATTTTCATTCATATATTCAGGCTAATAATAATAATAATTTTACTTAAATTTAATTATAAAATTAAAAAGTATTTTAAATATTAATAAAGTGATGAAAATAGGCTATACACATAAATTTGGGTTGGACCCAAATCAACTTAAAATTTCATACAACTCTTGGTTTAATGTGTTCACCTAATGTATAAGATATGAGAGTCAATAATGCAAGAGGCAGAGTGAACAAGTACAAATCACTTATATGACTCATGTACCTTTGTGATGCATGGGATAGAGTGATAATTGAATACAATACATATCACTCATATGACTCATGTACCTATGTGATGCATGAGGTGGAGTGATAATTGAATACAGTACAGATCACTCATATGAATCATGTACCTTTGTGGTGCATGAAGTGGAGTAATAATTGAATATAGTACATATCAATTATATGTACTTATTGTATTGTATCTTTTACTGTTTTGTAACTGATATTGTATTATTTCATATAATATCCATGTATTGTACTATTTCTTTAATTTCATTTTATACCCAGTACATAATCATGAGAATGTATGATACTCGAGCCTCATTGAGTGATCTTTGTAGTATTCAATTATCACTCCACCTCATACACCACAAAGGTACATGAGTCATATGACTGATTTGTATTGTATTCAATTATCACTCCACCTCATGCACCACAAAGGTACATGAGTCATATAAGTGATCTGTATTGTATCCAATTATCACTCCACCTCATGTACTAAAAGGTACACGAGTCATATGAGTGATGTGTATTTTATTCAATTATCACTCCACCCCATGCACCACAAAGGTACACAAGTCATATGAGTGATTTTGGCCCAAAAATTTCCAATCAATGCTTATTTTCTCACTGAAAAATATATACATCAACCCATTTAATCAACATATAGACTGCATATATCTTTTATTTCATTTAAAATGATCAGATGATTTTGTTCAAGCATATAACCTGATAAATTTATTTGTAATATGAGAATCACCCATGTGATCCAATGAAAAAGCATTTGGCAACAAATCACCATAAAAAAAAAGGTATAATGTCAAAAAAGTCTCTAACGTTCGATTAAATAATCATTTTAATCCTTTTTTAAATCATTTTAATTCAATATTTTTTAAGATAAAAAAACCTCTGAGATTTGACTAAATAGTTTGTAACAGCCTCAATATCGGGTTAGTGACTAAATTGTAAAACTTCATAATTTGGTGACTAAATCATAATAATTGAATAGTAGTGTAATTGGTATAGGGTTAAATTACAAGGAAGAATGAATAAAGGGTAAAATGGTCATTTGCATGGGAAATAATTAAAGAATATATATTTATATATTAACTCCACGTAGAAGAGAAGAAAGAAAAACAAGGTTTCAGAGTTCTCTTATTCTCTTCTTTTTCCACACGTGAAGAAGGTAAAACAAAGGTGAGATTTCTTAAAAGCTAATGGTTTGCTAAAATTTAAGTCTGGTTTTGATCCTTAGATGCTAATTAAGCTTATGGAAAGCTTAATTTGTTTTAAAGTAACAAGATGAAGAAGTTATAAGAGATTAAAGAAAATGGGTTTTTAAATGAATTTATGGAAAAGAGTTGATAAGTTGAATTTGAAGATAAATTTGACTTGTCATCATGTTAATTAAGGAATATGAAGTGTTAGAATTGTATTTAGAACATATTGAAATTTGAGTATGATTCTTTAATCACATATGAGGGATATGATTTTGAGGTTAAAGATGATTTTCATGGATATAAGTTGGTTTAAGTAATGATGATTGGGGTTAATGACATGATAAGGGTTTAAATAGAAGAATTGAGTGAAGAATTGATGATTTTCGGGATTAAAATACAAATTTGGGTTGTGTGCATCGATACACATTCAATGTGTATCGATGCACTATCAAATAATTGAACATCGAATGCAATTAGTGCATCAATGCATGAGGAGTGCATCGATGCATAAGGAGTGCATTGATGCACCTACTTAAAATACAAACTTCGAATGGGATTTATGCACCGATACATAGATAGTGCATCGATGCACCCGTCAAAGGATGCATCGATACATGGTGTAGTGCATCGATGCATACCTTCATTAAAAGATAAAAATAGCTTTCTTTTTAGCCTAAGAAGTGATAGTTTAGAATATATCAATTAGTTTACTGACATGTATCAATGTATTACTATGTAGATTTAGAACGTAATCTCGTTCCTGGAACAATCGAGAGATTAGAATTGAGTCAAAGCAAGGCTAAGGTGAGTGCCCATACTGGATAGAATTGTATGGAGATAAGACTTGCGATAAGTCTATCTCTTATAGTTGAATTCCTGATTTTATATTCATGTACATGCATCCATATATATATATTGGATACAGTGATTTCATGTATAGTTCATTTATGCTTTACTATGATATTATATGAAATAATGAAATTGTCAGAGGATCAATCCAGGTATGTGAAATAATGAAAGTGATCACATGTGTGTATATGAAGTGAAATACATGTTTATATGAAAAGTGATGAGAATATATGAAAATGAGAAATGTATTCATATTTAAGCCCATGTGAGTTAATATGAGAGCTGTAGTTATAATTGGCATGCCAAGAGTCGAGGGTTTACGTGGTCCTTCGGGACATATATGTAATTATGTGGAACATATATGTGGTACTTTGGTATACTTATTTTTTCCATTGTATTATGTATATGGTTCTTAAGGAGTGGTCCTTCGGGATATAGTGGTTCTTAGGAACAATCAGTTGTCCTTCGGGACATAGTGGTCCTTCGGGACAAATATTCAGTGCCCCTTGAGGGAATTATACGAGCTGTGGTGACAACATAGTGCACAACCTCTATGTACTCGCATACCTTTGTTCTCAATAATGTACATGGGCAATCCAAAGATAAATTAAAGCAAAATCAACATAAAAATATATGTCTTATATGTGCATACTATCATCATATATGTTATAGTATAATAAATATATGCAAGTTAAGATGTCATGATCAATGGTAAGGATGCATGTTTATAAATTCATTGTTATACATGCGTACACATATATTTATATTATGCCTCACTAAGTCTATGACTTAGCGTGTAAGTGATTTACATGTAGGTACCAAGAATCGAGCAGAATCGGAATAGGAGTGGCAATAACAACAGCACTGCCAGAAGATCAGATCAGAAGTAATTGATAAAGTATGTAATTTGTCGTGTATAGTATGTTGACAAGTAAGTAAAGTGTCAGTTATAAATGCTCTGATCGATTTTGGTTGTTTGTTTATTTTATGTAAATAAACGACTTTTATGTTAATGAAGGTTTTAAATTTTCCTTGAATTTTGTCAAGAGTCAAAGCTTGAAAAGTCAATGTGACACATCAGACTCGTATTCGGGTCGGATACGGGTTGGGGGTGTTACATAGTCACTTGGTTTTTTTTTATATTTTGGTACCTACTGTTTTATTTTAGAAAGAAAATGTGTATTTTAAAGCGTTGATAATTTGTTGACTAACGGTTTTCATCCATTGAGGGATTTTGTTACTCCAAAATAAACTATTGGATTAAGAAATGCTTAAACATGATGTTTAATTTAAGAAATGTTTTTCCACGAGACAATATTTTTACACTCAAATAAATTATTCTGTTTTAGGAAATGCTAGAAGAAAATGTTTTTATAAGTATTTTTATATTTAAATATATTTTTGACATTGTATTAAATTATTGTTTGTTTAATTTAATAAAAAAATTTAATATAAATTTTATATTACATATTTTATTTTATTTTTGAATTAGGGGCTTATTTTTTTATTTCGACTCGTCCCAAAAATAGTCAAGGCTGGCCATGCGAGTTCACATATGGCCATGTGGGTTCATTTTCTGAAATGAAAGTGTTTTTCTAAGTTAAAGATTATATTTTTCTCATAAGTTAGAGATTATTTTTTTCTTATAATAAATTAAGAGAAGCTTTTCTAAGTTGAAATTGTTGAAAAATTACTTGAGGTTAACAATGTCACAAGAAAGATTGAATGAGCTACTTATGTTATGTAATGAAAAAAATATGTTGAAAAATATTGATGTTGATGCTACGATTTTGTATCAAAAAATTCTTGAAGACAATGCTTTCTATAAATTTTTGTGTGCTTTAATATTTTTTTTGACAATTTTGAGATGATAATTAATTACTATTTGTTTATTTTAATAAAATATTAATATCAATTTCATACTATATATTTTTATAATTTTTTAAAATTAGGGGCACATTTATTTTTATTTCACCCCGGGCCAAAAAATACCCAGAGCCGGCCCTGGTCATATGAGTGATATGTACTTGTGCACTCTACCTCTTGCATCATTGACTCTCATGTCTTATACACTGGGCTTTTATCTACGTCTTATATTTTTATTAATATAAAGCATTTAAAGAATAATTATCAACTTCATACATTATTTTAACATATATTAATACTTTAATTAACTTAATAATTCATGTTTATATAAATGTTTTTAAAAATATTATTAACGGATATTCGATACTAATTTCTTTTACCAAATTGATACTAATGTTATTTTTAATATCATTCACTTAACTTTTCAACATTTCACATTTAACCACTACTAAACTTTTCTTTCAATTATAAATCTAATATTTAGTATATATGCAAATTAATTCCTTAATATTCAATTTAAACCCATATCAACTATTTTCACATTATATTAAATGTAATACATTAACTTTACCCAATTATCATTTCACCACCAACTTTCCTAAAACCTACGAATTTGATCTCTATCTTATACAACTTTTCACATTAAACCAAATCCCAATTTAACTATTCAAGTCTCTCTAATAATTATTTAGACTTTACACATCATCTCATACTCAATTTCTACTTTAATCCTTATTCTCCATATCTATAATTTAGTTCTTTAGCTTATATATTCTTCCAAATTTAATTCCAAATCCATAATATCATAATTTCAACCATAAGTTAAATTCTTTTAAATTTTGAATTTTCTATTTTGTTTAATATAGTGCTTCTTGTCATTTAATCCTAAATTCACAAATATTCCAATTCACCATCTAGACATAAAATTAGCACTCCAACTTTTAGTATCATCCTAATACATCAATTATTAAACAATTACACGTTAATCTTCATATTTCTCAATTTGTGAATCACTCATTCATATTTTCTAAACCTTGTAAAATTTTACCACAAAATTTCTTTATTTCTTTCCTTTGGCCAAATACTTTTAAGTTTTCCTAACACAATTTCTATTTTGATTCAAATATAAATTCATCCTCTAAGCAACATTTCCATGAAATTATCATAATTTCCTCATATGATAAAGGTCATAATTTTCATGCAAAGATAATAGAGTTGGCTCATTTCAACCAATTAAAATAGCAAATGACATAAAAATATCACAAAATGCATAATTTACCACCATTTCATATACCGGTAGTTTACACTACCCTCAAAGAAGTATTTTTATGTATTAATATATACACTTAAAAATTATTCTGTTTGAACCATTAAAAACTAGACTCGAATATGAATCTAACCATATAAGGAACTTCTTCGAATTCAACTTGTACATTTTTTGGCAAAATTTTTAATCTAGCTTACAAAATCTGTTTGAAGCAGAATCTGTTGTCAAAGTTTATGACCTTTCATAAAAATTTATATATTTTTGTACACACCTCTAAATCATTATTTGTTTGTTTTACACAAAACTAGACTGATTTACGAATCCAAATGTATAAAAATAGTCTTTTATTCATTCTTTTAAAATTTATAGTCATTTTCTAAACTTATTGTCCATATTACTAACACTAATTTGCATTATTAACTTATTCACTACTTTTATTAGCTTATCAAATGAAAATAAATGAATCAATTGAAGATCCTAACATCATCAACACAATACAATAATTTCCAACAATTACATAATTATGGTTTAATTTCTCAAGTCATGCAAAATAGGCTCCTAATACTCTCCAACTTGTTTCAAACTTGATTCGTCAAGTAAAACTCACTTCCAATTAATTCTAATCATTCTCAATCAAATTCAAAGCAAGCAAACAAATCAAATTCAACCAAGTTCCTAACATATCCATCAATAGCTAAATCACCAGACCAATCCCCCAACAATTTTTATTCAACTTTCATGCTTAATTATAACCCTACAACACTCCTAATATCAAAATCTAACTTAATTTCATCAAATTCTCAACTCCTCTTCATCCACCAAAATCACAACTTTCACCATTCAAGCATGAAACCAAGAAATAATTGCACCAAATTGTAGAGAATTTAATGGGGATTATTTTCTTATTCACACTTTAGCCCAAAATCTTACTAAATTTGATCAAAAATGGAAAATAAAAGAAATTGCTCACATTAGTTATGAGTTTCAGTAACCTGCTTGAGAAGAACAAACTCCCGAAATTTATGAAAAAATCCCTCTAATTTTAACTCTTAAAACCAATAAAAAATTATTCATTTTAGGCTAAAAACCTAAATTGTCATTAATGAATTGCCAAAATTATAATAATGCCACTCCATTATCTCTATTTTAATATTATTAAATAGCTGTAAAAATTTCATCTCTCAATTTTTCTTTTTTGACCCTTCAATTTTTTGAAATTTTATTTTAGTAACTAAATTGCACTATCTCACTTTATAGTACAATTCTCACCAAATTCCAGAGATCCAACTTAAATTTCTCTATTTAAAAATATTCATATAATTTTTCCAATCCAAATCTACCTTCCTGCAAATTTTTATAAATTCTGATTTGAGCCGATTATCAAAATAATATATTGAATTTTATCATTTAATAGACTTTTATGCAAATTCTGGATAAAATAATTATCTTGGGATAAACTACTAATTTACAATAAAAATATAACTTTTAAAATTTACATTTTTAATCCTTATACTTTTACAATTTTATACTTTAATCTCTAAATTTTCAAAATTTACACTTCAACCACTAATCAATTTTTTTTTTGTATTACAATTCTCCCTTACTTTCAAGAAAATTCGTTCTCAAATTTTTAACGTATGTTCAATACAAGCATATAAGAATACTGCTTTTACATCTTATCAATACTTGATCGTACTGGATCAAAACAATATAAAATGGATATTTTGGTGACATTTACATATTTTAAACACATTTTGAACTTTTGTTTAGGCCGAGAATCTCTTTGAATTCCACACTCTTTTCATTTCATCCAACAAAAAAGAAGCTCAACTGAAGAAAACGATGGCCGGGATAGGACCTCTAACTCAAGACTGGGAGCCCGTCGTCATTCGCAAAAAGGCCCCTAACGCCGCCACCAAGAAGGATGAGAAAGTCGTCAACGCCGCTCGTCGTGCTGGTGCCGAGATCGAATCCGTCAAAAAATGTATTCTTTTCTATTTTTACCCTTTCCTTTTGAATTAAATATAAAAGAGAGGGGAAAAAAACCCATCATTTGAATCGAAACAATATCTGTTTTTTCAGAAAGGATTCTTTTTGTTAGTGAGAATAATGCACCAGTTTTATATATATATGGAAACATGCAGCGAATGCTGGGACGAACAGGGCAGCATCTAGTAGTACTTCTCTCAATACAAGGAAGCTTGATGAGGAAACTGAAAACCTTGCTCGTAAGAAATATCTTATCTTTTTTTTATTCTTATCCTTTTTTATACACCATTATAGCTGAATTATATATGGTTCATTTCTTATGTATGAAAATCCCCAATTCTATTGCTCGAAGGATACTAATAGCTTTTGAGCTGAATGTATTGTTAATGGATTCTAATCTGATTGTTGTGCAAACATTTTTTGAGGAATTTATGTGTTGGGAGTATTATAATGCTGATGTATGTTTTTAGATTGCAAATAGATTGTCGATTTAAAGTAGGTTGTTTTGTTCACAATCACAGCAAATACGATGTCAATAAAAAAAACATCTTAAGTGCTGCAATTTAAATCCCTAGCTTCAATCTTGTACAAATAGAACTAGAAGTTTTTCATTAAGTTCTTAGCATATGGTATTTACCAATAGAGAGAAGCGTTGTGAATTCATTTCGAATTGTGAGGTTAGGAACCAATACAAGTTTAAATGCACCTGCATTTGCTTTTTTAAAATGTCTCGATCTTCTGCATTTTTTGGGGGGTGAACATTGAGATTTAAATTGTTGACAATGGTAGTGTATAGTAACATCAGGATGGATTTAGTTGGTATATTATTCATCCATTCATACCTGGATCCGGCCTTTTGTCAGTTCATTTTCTCTAAGGATAGCATCTTGTTCTAGAGTGTCTGGTTGTTTTCTGGTCCTGTGATCCCTGAATTGCCTTTGCTCCATATTTGTTTCTCTGGAAGTCCAATTAGTTTTTTTATGATCCTTTGTTGCTTAGACTTGCGTGTCACAATGACTGACATGTGTCATACATGATATGTTTATTTATTTGTTTGTTTGTTTTTAAGATTTCCATATATTTGAAGGATCTTATTCCCATACCTAATCTGGATATACATTGAACACGGGTACCTCAAGTAACCTGAAGAATGGGAGCAACATATGATTTACATATATATTGCTTTTGAAATTTGCCATATTCTTTTGTAACTTGCCATATTCTTTTATAACAACCATGGCTTACCTTGTTACACATATTTGGTAATCCCATGCATAAAAAGGGAAATGACTTTTCATTTACAAAATTGACTATTACAATATGATATGATCCTAAACCTAGCCTCCAATACTATGTTGAACTTATATGTTAAATGTATCTACCTGCCATTACCATACTTGTTGCATATCTGACCGTACTGACCGTACTTCAATCTTATAATGAGCATTGTAAATTTTTATTCATGTTTATTCTTATGAACAGATGATCGAGTTCCAACTGAACTGAAGAAAGCCATTCTGCAGGCTCGAATGGACAAGAAACTTACCCAGGCTCAACTTGCACAGGTCTCTCTCTCTCTCTATCTCTCTCTCTGTGTATTCCCCACATACCTAAGAGTATTGAGTCTATTGAATTTTAAGTTTTTAAATTGAATCATTTTTTTCATCTCACAGTTGATAAATGAGAAACCCCAGATCATACATGAGTACGAATCTGGAAAAGCCATTCCTAATCAACAGATAATTGGTAAACTCGAAAGGGCTCTTGGTACAAAGCTGCGAGGAAAGAAGTGAGACAGGTTGATTTCTTGTGGAAACAACAATTAGAACTCTCGAATATCTAACAGTATCTTTGAGTCGTAAAACTTGTGGGTATAAATGAATGTTCTCTACCGTTACGGTTTGCTTGTAAGAACAATCTTTGTGTGGTGACTATGACTATGAAAATGAAGTGTGTCCTTTGACTGTTACGGGAGCAGTTTGTGTTTTCTTTTGCCAATTTCAACTCTTTATTATGGCATCCCTTGGATAGACAGATGAAGGTTTCAGCTATTAAAAACGCCAGTAACTTGCCATTGGAATATGATCGTAGCGACATTTTAAACTTACCATTTGGAATTTATTGTTGGAATATTAATATGATGTGCAGATTTGACTGTAAAGTTCAGTAAAATGACATTTAGGAGATTACTTGGATGAGTAGTGAGTGGATTTGTTCACGGGTTGAATGATCCATTTTTCGATCTTGAGTCGATTCAATTTGAAGGACCCTAATGGAGTTTTGATTATTTATGGTGTTGGGTTTGGAAGTTATTTAATCAAAATGTTGACATACACTGCATTGATACCAATGTCGAGGTGCAAACAGTCGGGTTTTAATAGTGAATAAACTACATAGATGGTCATCAAATTATGAAAATAAATTCATTTTGGCCACTGATTGTTTTTGTAAACAAGTCACTAATGGTTACTTTTGTTTTCATTTTGGTCACTCTCCTAGAATATACCATATTTCAAATTTCAAGACAGAAGAAAGATAATGTTAAGATACAATAGGAACATTTACATGATTTGCCTTTGTCCCATCAAACCAAATCTCGTAACTATAAAATTTAAACATATAACATAACAATACAAAATCACTCGCAAGCCAATTTCGTACCAAAGCTTGTAAGACCGATGGAAAAAGCAAGAAAGGCTGACAAGGGCTGCCTATAATCCATGGTGAATGTATCGTCCCCTACTTTCCCGAACTGGGGGACAACCGTTTCCTTGTCTCCTTTCCTTCCTGGTTGGCTCGGGTATACGGTTGCAGACAGCTGAAAGTTCTTCACCGATGCTACTGTTACCCGACCATGGAAATTCAAGCACCAACATTGTAAATGCTCATGCCATCTTGGAGCTTTGTTCTTCAAAACTGTGTGACCAGAGGCAGCATTTGTAGGCATTTTCATCTTGGTGTCGTCTAAATGCTTGTCATTGTCTTTCTCTTCCTGCAAAGGGCATTTTATCAAGCAAACCATTCTTCTAGTACCTCTTGATTTCAAGAAATTGAACTTTAAGACACTTGACCAAACTCGAAATTGCCAGTTGGAACTTGGGGGCTGATTTGCTTACTTGCGAATCTCCGACTGGCTCTACTGCTTGCAGGCTTTGCACCACTGTGAGGTGGTTGACTATCAAAGATCTTATAGTTGGTGCCCAGAAAATCTGAACTGCAAGAATTTACATTTACATTTGAGTGCCACGTAAAAGATAATAAAGCACTCTAAAAATCTGACCAAAAATGATTCACATTGCACAAAACATGGATAAAATGTAAACCATACACCCTTTCAACTTAAAGTACAGGCAAATTTTTACACATCCAGTAGACAGACCTTTTTACCTAAAAGATTTAACTGAGAATTTATATATATAAAGCTCCTTCACTAAATTCGAAGAGCGTATATTGTTAATCACGTTCCAGCTAGACTGAAAGAGAAAAATCATAGCATAAAATACCACATCCGAAGTTTGATCCCTTACCTTAACTTCCCAACATAGGCATTACTGCCTTGGGATAGGTCATCAGCATCAAGGGACATAATATACTCAATATGAGCACCATGTCGATATCTCCGTGCAGCAAATAGAAACTTCCCTAACTGTCTACTCCAGAACCACTGAATGCTAAAAACAACAAACTGAATCAATTGCCATCTTCCAATGTGTGAAAGTTGCTTAGCATACCAGCTTTGGAGCCGATTGAAAATATTGTCCAAAAGAGGCTTACAATCATTCACTGCGAGTCTCTTAGTGATAAGGGATTCCCCCGGTATCTAACAGGCAGCCTCCTTATTTTAATTCTAGTAGCCTCAGCAACAACATTCAAGACCGAATCCTCAATATCGAAGAGAAAAGTTTAGGCTTTGAAGGGTTAATCTGCATGCTAGAGAAACTTCGAAACAATTGCGTTTTTAGTATTTTATTTTTAATAATTTTTTTTTATTTTTAGTATTTAGTATTTTATTTTTTGAATATTTTCATATTATTTTAAGTTTTAATTAATTTTTTAAATTTTATTTTTCTTAAAAAATAAATTTACCTTCAAACTTTGTGGAAAAAAATCAAATTAGCCCCTACCACATCATCATTAACTATGAACAATCACATCAGCATCGTAGATGGTCACGCCAATATTATAAACTATTAGATTGACACTTTAATGATTAATTTCAATTTTTATTAGATAAAAGATGTGTAACATCCTAAACTCGATCGAAAATATCTGAAACTAGATTTAGAATTTTTCATTTTAAATTCAACAAATCAAATTTACTTTGTAAATCATCCATGTTGAATAAAATCAAATTATAATAATATAAAATTATTTATACAAAATTAAAACTCCAAATTACAATATTGCATAAATCAAAATAATAACATAATTTCATAGATTAAAATACGAGTAAAATCCTAATATATGTGTTGATCTGCCAGTGTAAAATAACTTATTATGAAGTAGGAATATATAAAAATGAGGTGTAATTCTATCCCTCTATTCTTTAAAAATAAAATTTTCTATAATTCGTTGAGGATTTTATTTAATGTAATAGACAAGGATAATTCGTTGATATATATATATATATATATATATTAAAAAAATATTTTTAGAATATGTAGAGTTCTATTTATTTAGTTATTCAAAATATAAATTATTTCAAAAGGTTAACAATCTAAAAAAAAATCAAGATTTACTGTAAAAATACTTTTAAAAAATCTAAAATAACTTTTACAGAATTAAAAATAATAGATTGATAATTATTTGATTCCAGAAGTTTAATGAAAATGATATGAATCGAGATAAATAAGATATAAAAATGTTTAAATTTTAAAATCTTTTAATTAGTATTTAAAACCTTTCCTAAATCCTCCGATCTCACCGAATTAAATTCAATACCAAAATAGAATATTTGACTAGATATTAATTTGCATAACTGAAAGAGAAACTCAAAAGGGTCGAACCAAACCCAGATTCTTTTTTTTCTTTACATCAAAACCGGATTGGCATTTTAGCCGGTCCATTTCATCCTTTTTTCCATTTCTCGAATTGGTTATCATGAAAATTTGGCTCTTTAGCGACGTTGACCCACCCGTACTTTTATTCGGATCATGACCCAAATTTCTTACTTAATCCAAGCTCGGATCCAGTCTCTATTTCTCCCTTTCCCCCCTTCTGTTATCAACGAAATCCAAACCCTAATAACTTCTCGGATCCTCCAATTGGACCCGCCTGTGTAGCCAAGTTTTTTTTTATCTACAACACAATCTGGGTATGTTTACTTTTTCCTGGGTTTAGTATTATTTGTTTTAGTTGTGTGATTTTAGTCCCTTCTTAGCGTTCATCTTTATTGGGATTTTTTTTATAGAATTCATTATCTTGAATTGAGTGTAAATTTGGTGGCTTTTGTACGATTTTTGTTGTTGTTGTATTATTACTAGTTCTTATTTTCTTTATTTTGATAAGACAACTTATTTGGTTTCATAATGCAGATCATTTTTAGCCCTTTTTTCCCCCTTAAGAGAAACATAAAACCTGTGGTATTTGGCTAAATTTTGCCTTTTTCTTGTTACTGTTGTTTTTTTTTCATAGTTGGTGAATTTTTTTAATATTGTTTTATATGTTTGATTTTGAATAATGAGCCATATATATTTTTTTGTGTATATATTAGCATGGCTGTTGGTAAATATCATTTTGAGGGGGAAAAGGGAAAGGAGAATTGCCTGTTTGGCTTATTCAGAACTAATTTTCTGGTTTTAGTTGCTGAAAACTAAGAGATCTATATGTTGATAATTAGAACAAATTTTCATCCTCACTGGTTTTGTTACTAAAAAAAGTGCAATATAAAGATTTTGTGGAGTTTTTTTTAACCATTTCTCTCTTTACTTTCATGTTAGGCAACTAGAATGCAATTAAAGCAACACAAATTAACATGTTGCAGTGCTTATTCACCAGCTTATTGTTGATATTTTCTCCTGATGTACAATAAGAACCAATTGCATAATTATGATTGCATTCCAGGATTGATTGATAATATTCAACTATCCCTTTGGTGCGTTGTTGATGTTTTCTTTATTTCTTGAAAGGCTAGAGATTTGATTTTGGTTCAATGTGCAGAGTTGGTCTCATCTTAAACCTTTTCGATGGAGTTGGCTAACGAAACAGTTATCAAGAAACCGAAGAGGTTGACTTCTGTAGTATGGAACCACTTTGAAAGGGTTCGGAAAGCTGACATATGTTATGCACTATGTGTCCATTGTAACAAGAAATTAAGTGGATCGAGTAACAGCGGAACCACCCATCTGAGAAATCACCTAATGCGGTGCTTGAAAAGGTTTAACTATGATGTTTCCCAACTGCTTTCAGCAAAGAAAAGGAAAAAAGATAACGCCCTTACCAACGCAAATACCAGTTATGATGAAGGGCAAAGAAAAGAGGATTTTATTAAGCCCGCGATTGTCAAGTATGAACCGGATCAGAGAAAGGAAGAAGTTTTCAACCTTCAAAGCAGTTGGTTCGACCAAGAGCGGAGTCGCTTAGATCTTGCTCGCATGATTATATTACATGACTACCCCTTAGCCATGGTAGAGCATGTTGGATTCAAGGTATTTGTCAAGAACCTACAGCCATTGATTGATGTTGCACCGAATAATACCATTGAGGTTTCTTGTATGGAAATTTATGGGAAGGAGAGGCAGAAAGTTCACGATATGTTAAGCAAATTGCAAGGCAGAATTAACCTTGCTGTTGAGATGTGGTCTTCACCAGAGAATTCTAATCATGTATGCTTGACGGCACATTATGTTGGTGATGATTGGAAACTACAAAAGAAGATTCTTAATTTTGTGTCACTTGATTCTTCCCATACTAATGACAAGCTTTCCGAAGTAATTATCAAGTGTTTGATGGATTGGGACATAGAGTCTAAGTTGTTTGCAGTGACATTTGATGATTTTTCAGCTACTGATGATATCGTTCTGAGAATAAAAGAGCTGATCTCTGAGAGCAAGTCTTGTCTAAGTAATGGTCAATTATTAGATGTGCGCTCAGCTGCACATGTTCTAGATTCACTTGTTCAAGATGCCATGGAAGCTCTCCGAGTGGTGATCCAAAAGATTCGAGGAAGTGTACGATATGTTAAAAGTTCACAATCAATACAAGGGAAGTTCCAGGAGATAGCCCAGGAGACTGGAATTAAATGCCAGAAAAGCTTGGTTCTTGATTTTCCCATCCAATGGAATTCGACATACGTGATGCTTGAGACTGCTATGGAGTACAGGAATGCTTTCTGTCAGTTGCCGGATCTTGATCACGACCTTGCATTAAGTGATGAAGATTGGGAATGGGCAAGTTCCATTAATGGCTACTTGAAACTATTTATTGAAATCATTAGTGTCTTCTCCAGCAATAAATGTCCCACTGCAATATATATTTTCCGGAAATTTGTCATGTTCACATCCGATTGATTGACTGGTGTAAGAGCCCCAATACTTTTCTTAGTTCATTAGCGGCAACGATGAAAGCTAAGTTCGATAAATATTGGAACAAGTGCAGTTTGTCTTTGGCAGTAGCTGCTATCTTAGATCCTCGATTCAAGATGAAATTGGTGGAGTATTATTACTCCCAGATTTATGGCAGTACTACATTAGAACATATCAAAGAAGTATCTGACGGTCTCAAGGAACTCTTTAATACATACTCTATCTGCTCAACTTTGATCGATCAAGATTTAGCTTTGCCACCCAGTAGCTTACCTGGTAGTAGCAATGATGGTAGAGATAGACTAAAGGGCTTCGACAAATTCCTTCACGAGACATCTCAAAGTCAAAGTGCAATGTCAGACTTGGAAAAATATTTAGATGAGCCAGTCTTTCCTCGTAACTGCGATTTCAATATATTGAATTGGTGGAGAGTTCACACACCGAGTTATCCAATCTTGTCAATGATGGCACGAGATGTTCTTGGAACTCCTATGTCAACTGCCACTGAGTCAGCATTCAACGCTGGAGTTAGGATGCTCGATAGCTCTCGAAGTTCACTGACTCCCGGTACACGACAGGCTTTGATATGCACACAAGATTGGTTGCTGATACAGTCAGACGGTGCGTACATTATCTTTCTTCTCTTTCTACAATCATTTCCAATTCCTAATAAATATCTCTTAACAATATGCTATTTTCATAAATGTAATAGACCCCAGTCCATCTTCAAGCCATTATGATCTACCCCTTTATGTCAAAACAAGTTGATTTGTCCTTGGTGAGTCTCGGATAAAGTCGCGTTCTTTCCCCTTGAATACACTATTTGACCGTTGCTAATTTCGGGAATGCCCTTTTTTTTTCATGCAAGGTACACCATAGACCTTGGTCTCAAATAATAATAAAAAAGCCTGGATAAGGTGTTATCTACATGGAATGCCAATAGCCTAAGGTATTTCAGTGTGGGTTTGCAATTATATTTCTTCATCTCGAAGCTTTTAAATGACATGTAACACTGAACGCTTAAAGCAATGACTTGATTGATTGTTGATACGGTTATTTGATTTCGGGTTAGAGTTGAAGTAGTAGTTGTAGTTTGTTTAAATATTTAACTGTTGTTTAGGCTAGGCTTTTCATCTTTACAATGTGGGCACAGTTGGTCATGTGTAATTATAACAAGTTATTTTCTTTCTCTTCTTTGAAATATAATTACTATTTTACTATGGGGTTCATTTCTTATATATTGGTGGTAAAATGTTCAATTCCACATATTTTGTGACATGCCATATGTTCTAATTATTTGTTAATGTATTTCCAGGTATTTGTTCTTTTCTTAATTTTGTTTGTGAAATCTAAACTTCCATTGTCTATAAATGAAATAATTTCACTTTTTTTATTTTTCTTTTAATTCCAATAAAAGAATTGGGTGTTTTTTTTCTTCTTTTTAGTTATCCAGGTGGAAAACCCCAAAAAATATTCTTGGAATAGAAATTTGTAAATAAATTTAAAATTTAAAATTTCAATTAAAATGAAAGATAATTAGAATAATAATTAGCGTGGATATATATTATTGAAAAGGTAAAGTATACAAACGGTCTCTCGACTATACGATATTGTTTTGTCATTTGACTATTAAAAGTTACAAAATAATCATGATTATATGATGTTGTTTTGTTAAGTCCTTTGACTATTAAAAGTTACAAAATACTCAGTTGACTATTTATATGTTTCAAACTCGTCTTTTTTGGGTAAAAAGTTGATGGTCGTTTGAACTGTGATGTTAACATGTTGATTGAGATATGATAGTCGATTGAGATTCTAAGATCATATTTTAGCATATTTCAGTCAGTAGATTAACATTCAGTTTAGACTACCGTTAATTTTCTAACGGAATAGGACTAGTTTAGAACATACAAATATCATGCGATCATTTTGTAATTTTTAATAGTTGAGAGACTTAATAAAACAATGTCTTATAATCGAATGATCATTTTATAACTTTTAATAATCGAGAGACTCAACAAAACAATATACCCTATTATCGGTAGACTATTGCATACTTTACCCATTAAAAAACGGTTATCCAATTATAAATTAAAATTTCAATCAGAATAAAAGAAAACGAGGATAACGATTTGTGTGGATATATATAATTTATTTTAATAATTTACTTTTAACTATAATATAAATATTACACGGATTAAACAACATCAGTAGAAAATAAATTGTTGTTATTTCTTGTGGTCTTGGATTCGAGCACCATGAATGTAGAGATATGAGCGTTCAATGTTAAATGATTAAAAATTATCTTTGAAAATACTTACCAGGATTGATTAAAAAATTATAACATAAATATTTATTTAAACAATCAAATCATTATATATATATATATATCACATATATTAATTAAATATTCTTTTATAAGAATATAAAGTTAATCATTATATTTAAAAGTTTAATTTAGTTTTGGTTATTAAAAGTTAATTTGATTTTGGAAGCATAACGAGGGGCTTATTCTAAGATATTTCAAAGTAGAAATAATTCAAACAAAAATAGGGCGATGCTTGTGATTATATTATTATATAATAGATTTTTTTGGACTAAAACAGAAAATATTACACACCTAAAGGAAGTTTCTTTAGAAACAGGAATGCCCAAGTAAACTAGTCCATACAATACAACCTAATAATTTTATAGTTGTGTAAAATTAAAGGCATGGAAGCCTACTGTAACAAAGGAAAGGATATTCCTGACCATTACATACAGTAAATGCAGAAACTAGAGGGCCAAACTCGGGATCTCTAGCTGAAAAACTGGGTTCATAGCCTCAAGTTCTCTTGTTAGGTTCGAAGACATACTTAATCAGTGATTCTTTGATCGGTAACAACTCCGGGAACTCTTTCTTCAACTTGGATGCATCCATTTCATTATTGCTTCGAGGGGCAACTATCACCTTGCCTTGTTCTTCCAATGTGAAGTTCACCCACTCAAACTTGGGGTTGATGTATGCCTTGTACATATCCAGGATCTCGTTGTGGCTAACAACCCCTGGGTTCGTAAAGTTCCATATGCCCCTCAAGTTCCTCTTTGCCATCTCGATAGAAATCGGTAGAAGTTCATCCAAGATTGTCATGCTGTTGGGGATGTTAACCACCTTGCTGTAGCGCAATATCTTGGTGATGAAGTTGCGCGGGTAGTTTAGGTCGGATGAGATCGGCATTCGAACTCTCAGGGTGCAGACATTGTCATATTCTTTCAACAGCTCTTCAACCTAAACAAGACGGGAGGATATTAAGAGAATTCAAGATATAAACTAACGCACAAGTTGTATACCAGATAAACTATATCCGGTGTAGTTACCATAGCCTTGGTTTTCGAATAGAAGTAACCAATAAAATTGGGTTTGTCTTCCTCTTTAAAGCCAATCCCTGAGCCTTGAGGGTGTGCAGCATCGTACTCGAATATACATCCGGTAGCGAAATTCATCATCAAAAGCCCATGCTGTCTGCAAACATCTGCCAAGTTCAAGGTCCCAGCCACATTGGTACGAATTGTCTCAGTCTTGTGAGATTCACACCAATCAACATTGGGTCTACCAGTCACACCAGCAGCATTGAAAACATGGGTTGGCTTTATATTTTGAATATCTGCCACAAGCGATGATCGATCTTCCAAGTGCCCTCTTCCATATTCAAAGGGAATGCCTTGTTTCTCACATAACTTACCAAGTAAACCTCCAATCCACCCGGTTCTTCCATAGATCAAGAACTTCAAGGCCGGTTTTAGGGTAGAGTGACTACTTTTGGAGGTCGGAACTATCAATCGGGGAGTCATAGGATCGCTCGTAAGTTTTCCACCTTCCGAATCATAGTGTCTACCACCAGGCATCATCAGCATTCTTGGGTGTGGAAGCAGGGCACCAGACACATCTCCCCACCAATTGGGATTTTTGGTGTACCACTCTATTGTCTTTTTCAAGCCCCCTTCCCATACAGTTCGCTCAGACCATCCCAAGACCTTCAGCTTCTGATCATCAAGAAAATACCTCTGATCATTGAATGGTCTGTTATCAACGAACTTGATGCTCGTCTCGGGATCCATTGAGAAAAGTTTGCATATATCTTTGGCTACATCAATCACTCTCCTTTCCTTCTTGGTTCCAATATTATAAACATGGCCAACTTCACCCTTGTGAAGAATGACTTCAAATGCCTCAGCCACATCCTCACAGTATAAGTAACTCCTCACATTAGAACCATCCCCATGAATCGGAAGAGTCTCCCCCCTCATTGCTAAGAGGATGAACTTTGGAATTAATTTTTCAGGGAACTGATTGGGACCATAAACATTGTTACCACGGGTTGTAATCACCGGTAATCCATATGACCTACCATATGCCATTACAAGCATTTCGGCACCGGCTTTCGTCGCAGAGTACGGGTTTGTCGGGAGAAGTTGGGAAGCCTCATGGTTACCTACAACCGCATCCTCATCTGTCTCCCCATAAACCTCATCAGTACTCACATGGATGAACCTCCTGATCTGGCCAGTGACTTTGCAGGCTTCAAGTAAGACATGTGTGCCATAGATATTGTTCTTGGTAAACTCAAAGCTGTTTCCAAATGAGTTATCGACATGAGTTTGGGCCGCAAAATGCATTATTGTGTCGATAGACTCGGTGACGAGGAGATAGTTAGCAAGGTCAGCACTGCCGATGTCCCCCTTCACAAACTTGAAGTTTGGAGACGACTGGGAGGGAAGGAGGTTTTTAAGGTTGGAGCAGTAATCAAGCTTGTCAAGCACAACTATCTTGTAACCGGGGTAGTTCCGAATCAGCCGATTAGCCACATGGGATGCAATAAAACCAGCAGCCCCAGTTATGAGGATGTTCTCGGGGGTATATGTAGCCATTCTCAAACCAATTCTACCAAAAACAACAAGAAAACTAATCTAGGTACGCTAAAATCAGCACCAACTTGCATAAATAAATACGTGAAAATTAACCACGTGAAAATTAACTATGTGCAATCCCAAAAATAAGCATGAAAGAAAAGCCAAAAAACCATATCAAGCCAAACCCACAATAAAACGCAAACAAAATCACCAAAATTCCACCTTTACAGACGATTCAACTTTATGTTTAAAGCTAATCTAGATAAAAAAATATGTAATTTTTTAATAGTCTGAAATGATTACAATGTAATATCTATTTAGTATTTTCTTAATCAATTGATAATGTAATGAGTTCTAAGGAGAATAATATTTCTTTTTGTCAACGAGGTTAATGAGTTTGTAAATAATATTGATCATGCCCTAAAATGCAAAAAAAATCATATACATACAGTGTAAATTTGAATTTTGATCTTATAAATAGAATAAATTAGGTTGAAATATTATTTTGTAACTAACCTCTGCTATGTCTATCGAAATTAATTGATCAATGAATTTATATGGGTGATTAGAAAAAAAAAAGGTGAACTCCATGTTTCTTTTCTTTATTTCTTTCGCCTTGATTATCATATTCGTCATATAATAATAGAAAGAGATAGAGATCTGGTTCATAAGCAAATGAATGGAGCCAGAACGGAAGCTAACAGGCTACCGAAGCTAAGAAAATTAAGAAATACCCAGATCATAAAACGGCCTCAATTAATAGAAAGGAAACCCAAATTTCAAAGAGACACAATCATTGATCAAATTTGGCATAGAAAAGGGAAGAACCTTGACTTACAAGATGAAGGGAAGAAATCAATCAAAATCCAGATAGAGAAACAGACGCACAAATTCTAGAGAGAGGGAAAAGAAAAAGAGTATTGAGGGAGAGGGAAATTGTGGCAACTTCATGTACATACATATATAGATATATGTGTAAATTATAGGCGGAAGAGACAGTTAAGGGGAGCCATGAAAAATAACATAAATGATCTTGTTGAATCGTGATTTCCTATGAAGGAAATGCATGTCCTACGTAAACAAGGGTGGGTTGGTAAACTACACCAAAGGTCACTTAATTATAAATTTAATAACAAATAGATTATTTTTTCAAAAAATTATAAACATGTCAATTAATTAAAAAATAAATATATAATGTGATCTCATATAATAATAGTTTTAATCTTTTAAATCTATATAATTTATCAATCTAATCTTAATTCAAAATAATTTAATAGATTTAATTATTTATATTAAAAAATATCATTTTCACCAGAAAGATCCCCATTTTCAATTTGCTTGTTTCTACATTGGATCTCTTGATAGGATTTCATGATAGAAATACCATAGACTAAACAAGAATAGAGAAAGAATTCAAGCTAAGAAGACTAGAAGAAGAGACTAAACACACTCTAGTGATTTTATTGATAGAAAGTTGTAATATCTCATAAAGAAACTACCGTATTTATACAAGAGATACATCAGTTAAAGATGATTTAGAAAACAGTGTATTAACAGACTTCTTAACTGCTTCCAAACCGTTTCCAACTGATCCTAACAACAATGGTGCAATTACAAAAGCCTAGCTAAAACTTTCTATGCACACATTGCCAAAATACAAAGCTGAACAGCACAGTAAGTAACATACTAACATACCTTTACATCTCTTTCCTCACTTTCTGATTAATATGTCAATCCTACGACACACACAGATTACCTTTACAACTAATGTAATCATGAACATTGAAAAAGCTAATTATGTCATCGTCGATGCTAAAGATTTGCATCCAAATGAATCAACTTCAACTATGCCATTGTTGTATATAAAGAGAGTTAAAAGTTCATTTGTTCTTGAAGATTGAGCAAATGAGCCTAACAAAAACTAAAATCCCACGCAATGGCAATGGCAATGGCAATGGCAACGACAACGAAAACAGTTGCCAAGTTACATACTGGGAAAGTTCATTCAAGTGTAAAATCAAAGTTTCCAATGCATCTAGAGTTTATGTAGAATCATATGAGCACCGTGCTGAGGACGAAGCGTAATAACAGCGATAGGAGAGTGAGCATACGAAGGGGAAAGCTCAAACCAGAATCGTCTTAGAATCATTACAATCGCCATTTTTGCTTCCATCAGAGCAAAATTCTGCCCAATGCAGATTCTAGGACCCCCTCCAAAAGGGAGAAATGTGCCCTGACTTTTCGATGCTTTTGAAACCCCTTCTGCAAACCTCTCCGGTCTAAATTCTAGCGCATCCTCACCCCAAATTTCTGGATCATGGTGAATCAGGAATGTTGGAATCGAAGCTACCACTCCGGCTGGTAACGACAGTTTCCCAAGTTTCATATCCTTCGACAAGGACCGTGCTAGTAAAACGATTGGAGGGTACAGCCCGAGAACTTCGTTCAAGATCATTGTCACCTGTTGCATTGGACTAATTAGAAAATGTGACAAGTAACTAGAAAAGCCTGTTTCTAATTGGACCAAGAACCGGACTTACAACTTTGAGATGACTCGGGCCATCCGGATCCGATTTACTGATGAGTGTTCAGAATAGTTAATATTTGCTCGTTATTTCTTCGGTTTTGTGGATTTATTGCTGTTGATTTGGTCGTGTTGTGCTTGTTTTCGTACAGGTCATTGTTTTTTCAGAATTTGTGACAAAACGGGTGAATTCTGCATTTTTTTTATTATTTGATCACAGCTGGAGACATGGGCACGACTCTGGGCACGACGCTGTATGACGTGGCAGTTTCTAGAAGGTCCAGTCAGCGGCGGTTTCTGGAAGACTTCTTCCGCACGCCTTCTGGAAGATTGACGAGTAGAGTTGCATTAGGATACTAGTTTAAGTTTGAATTTAAATTTAAAAACAATTATATTTTGTATTATTTTATTATTTTCTTTGTTTATCCTTTAGGCTTTGAGAGGCTATAAATACCCACTTGGGGTAAGCCTAAACTCATCATTCAGAATACATTCTTCTTTTCTCTCTAGTTTTTATAAAAGTTTTCTCTTTTCCTTTTCAAGTTCTTTTTATTTTTCTTTACTTTCAAGTTTTATTTTTATGCTAAGTATGACTTTTGTCATGCTTAGCTAAACTTTTCATAAGCCGAGAGTTGTCGCGATGATTCAATTCCAACGGGAGAATTGAAACGGTCCCTTAATATCTTCGGAATCTCTCTCTCAATCTCTACGCTTATTTTTCAAAATCAAAACAGTTTTCAAAATCGAAGATTGACTTTGGTCAAGAAGTTGTTGCGATTAAACATGTGGGAGGAAGATTCGGCTTATAGAAAGCAATTCGACTTCCTGGGAACACACTTGGCGAGATAGCTTCGCCAAGAGGGAATTGAGATCGGAATTGACGGTTATAGAAACAACAATCCGAGTCGGTCGCCACGAACTTAAACGGTATTTGATCTACGACAATAGATGTTGTTAGAATCAACTACCGAAGTCGGAATCAAAGATTGCCTTGGGTATTCGGTATACAAGATAGAGTCACAAGGATAGCCCTTGTAGACAAAGTAACCGACGTGAATCCCGAAGAGAAAATCTTATTCGATGATCTAAAGAAAATTGAATCAAAGCGAAGCTTAAGGCTACTTTTACCGTATTTATTCACAATCTTCATCTTCTTATTTTACTTTAATTACTTTTATTTAATCACTTTATTATCTTTACTAAAATCCCCCCATTTTTACTGTTTCACGCCTGTCATAAATAATTCAGACAGAAATTTATAATTTTCTAAGTCCCTGTGGAATCGACCCTTACTTCTCCTTGCTACGCATTTCCTTAATTTATTGATTGAGAATAAGGAATTATTTTGACATCCGAAACGACAGTTGTCAAATTGGCGCCGTTGCCGGGGACTTCACCAAAGTTACTAATTTTTGTTTGTTTTTGATTTATGACCAGGACTAATCCGGGCACATTAGTGGAGTACAACCCGGAGATCGAAGCTGAAGCTAGGAGACTCCACGCACAGACACTTCGGGAAAGAAGGAGACAACAATTAGATCCAGAAGAAAGATCAAATTCAGGTAATACAAATCCGATGGCCGAACCTACTATTCGAGAGTTAGCCGCGGCACCCACTGAACAAGGACCTATGTGCATTAATTTTCCCCAAGGCGAAACTCCATACCAGTTGAAAACCGGTCTTATTCATCTTCTCCCTACATTTCGCGGATTGCCAAACGAGGATCCACACAAACATCTCAAAGAATTTCACATGGTTTGCTCTAGCATGACACCACAGGGAGTAACCGAGGACCAAATAAAACTTAGAGCTTTCCCTTTTTCCTTAGCCGACTCGGCTAAGGAGTGGTTATTTTATCTTCCTCCTAATTCTGTTACTACATGGGTTAATATGACTCGTCTTTTTTCTTGACAGGTTTTTCCCTGCGGCAAAAGTAAGTGAACTACGAAGGAGAATACTTGGAATCAAGCAACTTGATAGAGAGTCTCTCTACGACTACTGGGAGCGGTTTAAGAAGTTGTGTTCTAGTTGCCCACAACATGGGCTAACCGAACAAACACTCATTCAATACTTCTATGAAGGATTATCTCCCCTGGAAATGAAGATGATCGATGCTGCTAGCGGTGGAGCCTTGGTGAATATGACTCCTACCGAGGCTAGAGACTTAATATCGACGATGGCTGCAAATTCCCAACAGTTCCGCGCAAATAATGAACCTTCTCGAAGGGTTCATGAGATAAGTTCATCTTCCTTGGAAAGTAAAATAGATAAGTTAACTGAAGTCGTAAACTCTCTTGTTGCAGGAAAGACAGGACAAAACCGAGTATCTGGAATATGTGCATTGCCTGATCATCCAACAGACGGTTGTCCACTGATTCAAGACGATGCAACAGCTCAAGTCAACGTAGTCGGAAACTTCCCGGGACCTCCCCAAAAAGCTTATAATCCTTACGGTAATACATACAACCCAGCATGGAGGGATCACCTGAACTTCAGTTATGCGCAGAACCCGAGACCGAATCAAAGCTATCAAGCGAGACCTCAACCACAACAACAGCCCGCAGAAGACATCACTAGAATCGATTGTCGAAAGGTTAGCACTATCCCAGGAGAAATTCCAGATCCGAACTGAAGCCCACTTCCAAGAGATGGACAAGCAATTGAGCTAACTGGCTCAAACCGTTGGGAGATTAGAGTCACAAGGTAAACTTCCGTCTCAAACTGAAGTGAATCCGAGGGAAAACGTTAGCGCCATCACCCTTCGGAGTGGTACAGTAGTAGCGCCACCTATCCCATCGGACCAAGCAGTCCAAAAAGAAAAGAAGACCAATGACGCGGGATCCCAGAATAAGAATGAAGAAGAACAAGTGGACGATCCGACGCCATCTCCCTATGACGTGCCACCACCTTTTCCATCAAGGTTAGCTAAAAAGGATAAAAAAAGCTGAGGAAAATGAAATATTAGACGTACTTCGAAAGGTGGAAGTTAACATACCTCTCCTCGAAGTTATCCGGAAAGTTCCAAGGTATTGTCGGTTTCTGAAGGATCTTTGTATGACTAAAAGGAAACTTACCGGGGTCGAGAAAGTGGATTTAGGCGCAACGTCTCAGCAGTTTTCCAACGACCGCTTCCACCGAAGTATAAAGACCAAGGTATGTTTTCAATACCTTGTAAAATTGGTGAGGTTAAAATCAAGCGAGCTATGTGCGATCTAGGTGCCTCTATCAATGTAATGCCTCTCTCCGTCTATAATTTAATTTCCACCAAGCCTTTGAAGGAGACGAGAGTTACACTTCAGCTAGCCGGCAAATCAATAATTTATCCTGAAGGACTCATAGAAAATGTTCTAGTGGAGGTAGAAAACTTAATTTTCCCTGCTGATTTTTATGTGATTGATATGGAAAATGATCGTAGCAACATGGTTCTGAAATCCTCCTCGGTCGTCCTTTTCTGAGCACGGCAATGCAAAGATTGATGTTCGAGCGATATTCTTACTATGGAGTTCGATGGTGAGATCTTAAAATTTGATGTCTATAAAGCAATGAGATATCCTAATACGTTCATAGTATAATTTTGTTGGCATTTTTGAACTTGTTGATGATGAATCTAACTTTGTTGACGATTTATGCAAAGGAATCAGATGATAAAAACGACATAAGGAGTTGAAAATATTTCAGTTGTTGATCAAATTTGATCTCAACTCCTTTAAAATCTAAAGATTTACCTTCCTTTTTGCAGGCACCAAAATTAGTCGAAATCATCAAGGAGCGTTTGAAGAAATCATTTTTGGTAAAAAAGATGTTTTGACGGCCATTCTTGGACAAGTTTTTAAAATTGGGAAATATCCGAAGAAATCTTTGTGAGAATTTTCAAATTTCTCATAAGGATTTCTTAGTTGGAGAAAGCGAATGAAGCGGAAGTGTTGTCACGAAACCTGTAGTCTGAATCAGGTCGTCAAGCTAATGACGTTAAATAAAGCGCTTCATGGGAGGCAACCATTGTTTTCCAATTCCGTTATATTTTTATTTTTTCTTTATTTTTTTTCTCCGATTAAGCATATTTTATTTAATTTTGCAGGAATTTCAAACTTAAACAACGAAGAATTGAGAGATTATCATCCGAACAATGCCAAATTCTACCCTAGGAGCATGTAACGGCAGTTAGCACACTTCTAAGGAGACCGGTCGACAGTAAATCCGGGGAGTACTCTGTTCCTTCTCTTGCACTTTAATTTTTTTTTCGTTTTGAGGCAAACGCTTTAAGTGAGGGGGAGTAGAGTGTAGGGTTGAATTTCATTTCGCTTATCTTTATGCTTTGAATCTAGTATGTGTGGTTGAATTGGTCGGAAATTTCATTAATTATCTTTGTCTTGTTGAAATTTTTGGAATGCTATGCTTGCTTGGGAACACATAATTGTTTAGGTTAGGATTCTTGATAGCAATAGCATGAATTGTGATAAATTGGTATTTTTGTGATATTCCATGACTTTGTTGGTTGAAATGTGATTAGCTCAATGCATGAAAACAATTTGGTGAGATTTGAGCCTTTACGAGCATATCATTTTCGCTCTCATTTTGTTTGATTGAGTGTGTCGAATTTGGCATTGGTATTCTAGAACCTGCATGTTAAATACTGTCGAGATTACACATGAACATGATGCTTAAAAATGATTTGGGCACCTTAGGAAAACCATTCCGTTTCCCCACTAATAGCCTACCCATGCATATTTTCCTTAGTTAAACACTTTTGAGCCTATTCCCGCTTCTTTGTTTCACCATATTCATAAACCCGAGCTTTTATTTTATCCTTCTTTTCTACCTTTTTCAGGGCAAGTGAATAATTTTACCATTGTATCTCCATCGAAAAAATGTTGATGAAAAAAAAAACAAAAACAGTGTTCGAAAAAAGAGAGACTGTTCGAAAGAAAAAAAAAGAACACAAAAAAGACGTGAAAAAAATGCAAGACAAAACAACAAAATGTGAAAAAGCATTTCGATAAGAAATTTGTTGTTTGATATTTTTTTTATCGTTGTGCTTAATGTTTTGATGGAGTTGAGATTATTATTTGTTAGTTCCTTGCCTTGAACATTTAGCCTTATGTTTAGCCTTTTCCCCTTTTACCTAAGCCCGTTACAACCAATAAAAGACCCTTTGATTTAGCATCTTGTTCTTATTAGTAGTGGAGATTTGATTTACTTACAGGCTTATGGTAATACTGTGTAAATTCTGACATTGAGCGTTTCTTACCCCAAACACATGGAGTGATTTGAGTGAATCCCGGTAAGGTATTGAGTTATGAGCATTGAAATTAATGAATGGATGGATATACAATTGCACTTGACTTGTTCTAATTAGTGATGTCAATTGATTGATTTCTTGACTTGAATAGTTATGTGGTCTCTACCTTGCTTCCCTAAATGTGAAACTTGAGAAAGAACGTTTTAATGAAGTTTTGACTGATTTGGTTAATCCTACTTGAGGACAAGCATGAGATAAGTGAGGGAAATTTGATGAGTGTTCAGAATAGTTAATATTTGCTCGTTATTTCTTCGGTTTTGTGGATTTATTGTTGTTGATTTGGTCGTGTTGTGCTTGTTTCGTACAGGTCATTGTTTTCCAGAATTTGTGACAAAACGGGCGAATTCTGCATTTTTTTATTATTGGTCACGGCTGGAGACATGGGCACAACTCTGGGCACGACGCGGTAACGTTGCAGTTTCTAGAAGGTCCAGTCAGCGGCAGTTTCTAGAATACTTCTTCCGCGCCTTCTGGAAGATTGACGAGTAGAGTTGCATTAGGAGACTAGTTTAAGTTGAATTTAAATTTAAAAACAATTATCTTTTGTATTATTTATTATTTTCTTTGTTTATCCTTTAGGCTTTGAGAGCTATAAATACCCACTTGGGGTAAGCCTAAGCTCATCATTCAGAATACATTCTTCTTTTCTCTCTAGTTTTTATAAAAGTTTTCTCTTTTCCTTTTCAAGTTCTTTTTATTTTCTTTATTTTCAAGTTTTATTTATGCTAAGTAGACTTTTGTCATGCTTAGCTAAACTTTTCATAAGCCGAGAGCTGTCGCGATGATTCAATTCCAACGGGAGAATTGAAACGGTCCTTAATATCTTCGGAATCTCTCTCTCAATCTCTGCGCTTATTTTTCAAAATCAAAACAGTTTTCAAAATCGAAGATTGACTTTGGTCAAGAAGTTGTTGTGATTAAACGTGAGGGAGGAAGATTCGGCTTATAGAAAGCAATTCGACTTCCTGGGAACACACTTGGCGAGATAGCTTCGCCAAGAGGGAATTGAGATCGGAATTGACGGTTATAGAACAACAATCCGAGTCGGTCGCCACGAACTTAAATGGTATTTGATCTACGACAATAGATGTTGTTAGAATCAACTACTGAAGCCGGAATCAAAGATTGACTTGGGTATTCGGTATACAAGATAGAGTCACAAGGATAGCCCTTGTAGACAAAGTAACCGACGTGAATCCCGAAGAGAAAATCTTATTCGATGATCTAAAGAAAATTGAATCAAAGCGAAGCTTGAGGCTACTTTTACCGTATTTATTCACAATCTTCATCTTCTTATTTTTACTTTAATTACTTTTATTTAATCACTTTATTATCTTTTACTAAAATCCCTCCATTTTTACTGTTTCACGCCTGGCATAAATAATTCAGACAGAAATTTATAATTTTCTAAGTCCCTGTGGAATCGACCCTTACTTCTCCTTGCTACGCATTTCCTTAATTTATTGATTGAGAATAAGGAATTATTTTGACATCCGAACATTTACCGTCACCGAAGACTTGCAGAACCTCTTCCCTTTCCTTTGTCTGCCAATTCGGGTACCGTGCAAGCAGAAACATTGTCCAAACCAGCAGAACCGAGGTGGTCTCTTGGCCAGCCAAGTAGAACAACTTGCACTCATCAACCACATCTTCAAAACTCATTCCCATGTTCTTGTGATCTCCATGCTCTTGAATTTCTTTAAAGTTGGATTCAACGAGTATGCCTAATAAGTCATCATTAATGACTTCACCAGCTTTAACTGCCGCCTCTCTTTTCTTCACCAATTCCCTAAGGGAGTCTTTTATCTCTTTTTCCATCACCTTCAACTTCCTGTTTCTCGTAGTTGGTAGAAAGCTTCCACAATACAAATATCAAACATAAAGTTAAATCTTGGATATCTGTTAACTTAGAATAGTGACTAATTTTACCTCCATCCTGGAATGTAAAGTGACTGAACTACTTGTGTGAGAAGAATGGTTTGCTCGTCTAGTAGTAGGAAAATCCGATTTCCTTCTTCGTAGCTGCTTCCGAATGCTGCTCGAGAAATCACATCTCTTGTTAAGTTTACGAGACAAGGCCCCACACATCGACCTCACTCGAGCCGTCTACGGACACCATCTTCTCCCATTCGTCGATCATCTCGGTACAACATTCATAGAATGCTGGCAACATGCTCTGCGTGAATTTCCAAGTCAAGAAAAGAACATACATAGTGGCAACATGGTCTTCCGTTAAAATCATTCCAACAATTTTCTAGGTAATTGTCATAAAGACTTCATCACCAGCCACAGCACACGAAAAATTAAAAAATTAAAGGAGCAATGTGCAAATACCTTCAATTTATCTTGATGAAAAGCATGGGAAATAATCTTTCTATGCTTAGCCCACTCATCTCCCTCGAGGGTTAGAAGGCCACTAAAAAGTAAGCGGAGAAGGGGGTTAACACGAGGCTTCTGAAACTCGTATTTTGTAAATATCTCTCGTATCAACTCAGGGTCAGTGATTGTAATCCTTGGACTGGGACCAAACCACTGAATCGAATTCTTCCCTGCATTTTTCCCACAAGAGATTACAGACGTTAGGTTAAACAAAAAGAAAAAGAAAACCAGCGATATTAGACAAACCATAAGTCTTGACAGTTTGATGATAGTGAGGAATGACATATGGGGCAATGTCATCAGTAATGGACGACTTAGGTTTGGATCTTGCTTGTCTGGTCATGGTGAGGATCTCCTTGATTTCCCCGAACAAGAACCTGTAGGAATTTCCAGAATAACCCTGTTGTCTCAGGCACTTTTCGAGCTTCTTTGGCTTCAGCCATACCCAGTTCAAAACCCTCCATCCCCATATAATCAATAGCCCGACAACAAGAGAAAAAAGTAAAGCTCTAACTGTGACAAGGGAATCTTCCATGCTTAATGACCGAGAGAAAGGTTCTAACGATGAAAATAGATGTGTTTGTGAGTGAAAAAAAGGCAAGGGCAGATAATGTTTTAATAGGCAAAAGGACTGGCCTGGACAGAAATTAAATTCTCTGACAAAATTACAATATCTTTAAAGATTGCTCTGGAAATCGAAATCTTTAATGAGTACACGACAATGAAAAAGTCAGAAATGTGTCATGGTTGGTATAAATAGTAGAAATTACAAATTCATGCTGTGTACTAACAATAATCGAGTGATGGAACCATAAATGAGAATATTTACAAACAAAAAGGTAATAAAAGCTGCAAAATTTCCGCTGTTTCTGTACTATAATTTTGATAATATAATTAACGAAAATTCTTTTTAATTTTTGATGAAATATATGATTTCATATCTTATGTTGCACTGATACAGATACGGGGACAGAGACAAAAAAAAAATGTAATTTTTAAAATTACAGGGTATGGGAGCGGTAAGGGTAAGTAATATAAAATAATTTTAAAATTAAAAATATAAAAAAAAATTAAAATGTCAAATTTCAAGATTAAAACTATAATATTAACTCTAGAATAATAAAATCTATAATCAAATCATAATATTAAAGTGTTAAATCATAAAACTCATATCATAATATTAAGGTGGCGTTTGGTTTGCTAGAATGTTTCTGAGGGAATTGGAATCTGTGAAAGAATTGGAATCTGAAGGAATTAGAATCTAAATCTGAAACATGTTTGGTTGACTGGAAATTGAATTGGAATCCAATTCCATATTCTGTTTGGTTCGCAGACATGTTAGATGAATTTGATTTCAGTAATGTAAAATGACAGAATTACCCTTCTTGTTTTTTTGCTTAATTTTAGTTTGTTTTATAACTTACATGTAGCAATATATTATAAAAATTTAAAAAATATTAAATTTTCATTTTATTGATTGATTATTCATTTCAATAAATTATAAAAATCATACTGATAAACATCATAAGTTAAAATCATCCCAATTAGGGATGACCATGGGTCGTGTTTTTGATCCACCCGAAACTCGACCCGAGAACAAGGGAACCTCCACCCGATACCCGACCCGAAATAATAAAAAAAATATTTTTATTCAATAAAAACAGTGACTTAATTGAAAAAAATATATATATAGAGGGGTATTATTGTAATTATTCCTAAATATATAAGGTAAAATTATATATTTTTTCGGGTTTGGTATTTTTCACCCTAAACCCGACCCTGACCCGAATATCACACTTAAAAAAACCCGACCCAATCCCGATTTTTTTAAAAAAATAATCAACCCGAATACCAAAAAATTGATGAGGGTAGTATGGTCAAATTTCACATTCCCTCCTCCAAAGGATTTCAATTCCATCATGTTATAGATGAAATTTACTTTTCCTCCCTTTATGGAATTGGATTCCAATTCCCCCTTTGAAAACTTGAACCAAACATGAGAAAGTGGTGGAATAGGATTCCAATTCCTCCTAATTCCAAGGGATTCCAACGAACCAAACGCCACCTAGGTCTAAAAAAATATTAAACCCAAATCAAATATTGTTAATATCCTAATTTAACTCTAATTAAAATCCTAACATTTGAGTATTTTTTTAAATTATAAATAGATATAAAAATCATAAATAAAGTTAATACTTCATAGAAAAATTGGTGTGACACCTTAATTTAACTCTAATTTAAATCCTAACATTTGAGATTTTTTCCCAAACCCCTAAATTAATTTTAGTGTCCAATTTGAAAATTTTGTTTCCAAATTCGAAATCCCTAGGAAGATCAGGGATCAAATAGAAATTATACCAAAAATTATATAAATCCTACTTTCTCCACCCGTTACCGCTTCTTCTTCCTTTCGTTTCTTTTCTTCCTTTTCGGAAATAGGAGAGCTGAATCATCGGCTTGCCATACCTGCCACCGTGGCACATCCCCGGTACGTACCTCGGTCGTTCCCGTACCGTCCCCTAGCCCAAAACATATCAGGTACTTGAAACGATACTCCTTTGCCGTACATGTGCTTCATAGTTCATATATGATACTAAATATGTGTTATCAATAGTTTTTTTAAAATTTTAAAACTCATATAACTTCTAAAATATTTTAGAAAAATTTTATTTTACTCGAATTGATAAATTTGATAACTTAATTGAACAATTCATTTAAATTTTGTACACTTTTCATTTTAAGAACTAATAATCATTAACAACGATTAATATTAAAATTAATCTTACTCTCAATTAAATATAAATTTAAAGGGGAAAAAAAGAGGCAAAAAGATCTTAAGAGAAAACCTAAATTAAAAAAACAACTTAAGTCAATTTAAAAGATTAAAATTATATTAACAAGGTTTGGTTCAAGTGATAAGTATCTTGATATCGCTTAAGTAATATCTCAAATCTGAATTCTTGTGTATGTAAAAAATCCCTGCTGATTAATCAAGGGCACCAAATGTGCGAGTGGGTTGATCCAGATTAGTCAAAGCGAAGCCTTAGAACCGAAAAGGCAAAATAATAATAATAATAATAATAAAATATAATTAATCAATTTGATTGAATTGAATTATTCGCCCAATTCTTTTTGAGTGAATATTGTTAATGATATTTTTTTTTAAATATTGTTAATAACGTCCAGGATAAGTTAATAGTTTCAGTCAAGTGCACCGATTTATAATTCTCTCATGAGAATAGTGAGTTGCTTGGAGCGCAATAATTTGCCACTTGCCAGCACAAAAGCACAGCGCATTCACAAATCATATCATATGAGCAAGCACATCAAAATTCAAAGTAACCTTATCCAAATTGAGATAATATTATATATTAAAGATTATTATTCAAGATATGATTTTTTTATTGGAATTATATATTTATACTTAGTTTGTTTTTATTCTAATTAGAAAATAAAGAATATATCAATAGTAGCATTCTCTTGTCAAGATTTTGGGAACTTTATTTTTCACTGTTTTTTAATATTTATTAATTTCTATAATTTTAGATAATTCTTTTAAAATAATAAATTTTTATGTCAGTTTATTTGTTGTATATTAGAGTGGAATGCCCTACCAAGGAGGAGATCTAGAATCCCTTGTCCCATATAATGCAACCTTCCCTTTTTGGGGGTTTTTCATTGGAATTACACATTTGGAGTTAATCCCAATAAAAAATTAGAGTTAAATGGTCTAAATAATTTATTTTTTTTACTTATATAATAAATAGTCTAAATAATCGATACCATTAATAATTTCGATTAAAATTAACATTATGCTCACATGGTTTTTTTGTTTTGTTTGCATTGAAATACTTTTTATTGGAAGGTGTAACTTTTGAATAAAAAACACTTTAAAGATTCAATCATATTTTTTAATCGTTTTAAAATTTCAAATTAATTAATAACACTATAAAATAGAAAACCAAGTTATAATAAAATTCAAATATAAATAATGTCTCTCAAATTTAAGCTTAATATAAAAATTAAAATCCTGATTTAATCAAATTCTCGTATTATAAACTTATTGTTCAAATATTGTTATCCAACTTTTTAATGGAAAACATATCAACAAAAAATTATAGTAGAGTTTTTTCTACAAAAAGCAAACAATATATCAAAATAAATATTTAAATTTATTGGTTAAATTGTTTTCAAATTCATTAAAAAAATAAAAGTAAGACAAACAATATCCGATTTTATTTTATTTTTTTGAAAGAAAAAAAATCCTAATGTGTCGCCATCTTTTTTCTGGAATTTCCCCCCACACAGTGGATAGACAGTAGTTTGGCTCCATGCCTTCCATTCACGGGCATTTATCCAATTTGTGGTTGCCTTGCCCTTTTCTCCTCACATGGACGTTCCATGCATATCACTTAATTTGGATGGTTTCAAAATATATCTTGTTTGTAACTGTTGAGCTTCGGTTCGGACGATGCTAGAACCGGTGGGTCTTGAAACAAGAGGCCAAATCTGGCGTGGGTTGAGGACGAGTGTTGATTTGGTTGGGGTCCCTATGGTAGTGTCAGGTTTGGTTTGTGGGTCGGGAATGAACAACGGCACCTGTAATTGGACGTTAAGAACGAGGGTAGCTGACTGTGTGCATAACTGTGAATTGGAGGCTGTTTGAGTGCTGGAATTAGACTGATAATCAGCAATGCAGAGTGCAGTAATATAAATGAATATAGTTATCGTCAATATATTTTTGCACGTTTATGTTGACTCTTAAGTTGCTTAGTTTCAGTTGAAATCCTGTTAATAATAGTTTTCTTAATGCTGATAACTACATCAGACGTGAGAGATGATCAACTTCATTATTTACGGTGACATTGATTTAACTTGTCTTATATATGTTTATTCTGCTTTCTTCATTGTTTAATCGACATAAGAGATAAGATTAAGGGGTAGAGTTGTTTTATGGAATGTTTTAGAAGATAGAAGTTGCATGAAATTGATGGCATCATTAATGACCTAATAATATCATGGTCTAATTAACCCTTGCCCATTTATCTATTCCTTTGTTTTCACTTTACTACTTAAGTTTCTACGTTTCACTAAAGTCTTCAAATTCTTCATTTATCACATTTTAGTTCTCAATCCTTTATTCAAATCCATTTATTCGTTAACCCATGAAAATAAATTAATTAAACTCAACCCCGAAAATTCAATTATCGAATTAATATGCTGAAAAACAATTTCCGGGTCATTCAACATCGAAAAAATTCTAGACTAATTTTTCGAATAGCAAAACGTACGAGAGACAACATTAAGATTCAAATAGAAAAATAATAAAAACATAAGAATTTTATAAAGACGTCAGATTCCTAACTTGTAAAATGGACTTAACATGGGTTTAGCATTTGGGCTGATTCTGATGTTGGGTTGAGCATTCGGCATGCTAAATAATGGACATTTGTTTAATTTGGGTTAGTATTTAGTCGAGCGCTCTTGTGCCAAAAATGAAGGGGGCTAAGCGATCTATCGAAGTTGTGGGATGTA